TGAACGGCGCTTTTCTGCCATGCTAGCGTGGAGCCTCGGTTATTTTATCAAAGAAACTGCCTTGAACCACGCTGCGTGCACAACGTGGAATCGCGTACAGAGTAAAACTCATGTAAGGTTGAATACATTTTCCGACGTGTGAGCTGCGTGCGAACGGTTGAAGAAAAAAATGCTCATCGACTATGCTAATGAAATTAATTGTTTTAGTTACAATTGTGTTTATTAATGTACCACCGGGCATTGTTTTATTATAAATATAATTGCAATTTTATTTCTTCTGCAAGTAACATTTTTCGCTATTTTCCTGAGGTAAGATAGACTTTCTTATTGATTTGAAAAGAAAAAGAAACTTTATATACAGAGTCTGAGAAACAATTAAATGTTTATTTTTAATATAATATGGAAAATAATTATACTTAATAGTCAATATAAAATTTTGATAAATAAAATATCTTGTTTTGCTGTCTCCAAATTTGCAAATAAGCAGAGCATTAATATATTTTAGAAATATTATTTTTTAAATTTATTTATAAAAAAATTTAATGGTAATAAAAATTGAAATAAAAGAGTTTAAAACAAGTTCAATATTAAATCTATCAAACAATACATTTTAATTTTTTTTTTAATTATTTCAAAATTTATTGCTGGAATCAACTGAATTCCAAAGAATTGCTTTTCAAAAAGCGTTCTTTTAGCATCCAGTGTACCTTCACTATTTTAAATAAATTAATCATCAAGTGAAAAAAAATTAGTAAGAAACTTCACATGAAATATTTTTAAAAATTGCGTGATACATAATTTTGTATTTATTAAAAATTTGTTAAAATTTTTCTAATAGTGTTTTATAATTTTTGGATGGTGTGTTTGCGAAAATGAAAATTGCAAAAACTCACATGGTGTTTAAAATCCTTGCGAAATAATCCAATATCACATTTGCAGTACGTATATGGGCACTGAAATAACACAGCACTGAAAATATTCGGGGCACACTGTAAATCCCAGGTAAAAATCCTCGCAGGCGCGGGGGCGCGAAATGGAACTAGGAAATATAGTCACGGGGTACAACAGAAAGGGCCGGCGCACGGACGAAGACTGTTTTGCCGCCGAGTCCGATGGTAAAGGGTCCCCTCTACGCGAATGCCCCACCAGCCGGAGCGAGCAAGACTAAATCGCAACTTTCTCGCAGTCATCGTCGCGCTCGCAGAAGGTTGTGCAGAATGAAGGTTATGCCCTCGTCCGCAATTTTGCATTATTTTATCGCGGCGGCGCGAGCGCGCGAATCTCCCTTCGGCTTGTTTTTCCATGTCGTGTATTTATTTTGCTTTTCGTCGGAAAATCGTAACAAAAACTAAACCAATTTCAGAAATTGTGCCGTCGCTGATTAGTTAAGTTAGTTGTTGTGCCAATCGGCGCTTTTTGCTCTCTGTGTGTGTGTTTGGCCCTGGCGATCGGCCTAGACGCGCGATCTATGCGATAGGCAGTCCTAGGTCAACTGGTGTGCGAATATTATTATGACGAGCCGCCTGCAATTATTACGTGGTTCGTCTCCATGTGCTTATGCGTCGAAGCAACTTCATTTCATCCCACCAAGATTAAGCTAATAAAAGCTCTGATGGACTGGGGTTGAGAATAATTAACCTATTTACTATAAAAGGAGCTAAAATCAGAAAAAAAAAATATAAATATCAATATCAATTTTTAGAAGATGGAAAATTTAATGATTTTCTTAAATTCATTTTTAAACCTTTCTTAAATTCAATTATCATAAATAGGGGAGCATTTTGAGCAGACAGTAGTCGTGAGATTTATTTTTCTTGGATACTTCCTTTCTCTTATTTTATTTTGAACAGATTTGTAGTTGTAGAAAGACAGACTGCCGCATTTCAGCCAAATAAAACTGTTAAACCAGCTCGGAACTCACAGTTGTTCCCATTCATTTTGAATAAAATTGACTGATTAATGTTTTTTTAAATGAAAATAGCCTATTTAGAGCAAAATATTTTTTTATTCCCAAATATTGTTTTTTGGTTAACATGAAAGTTTTTATGAATGTTTTTACCTTACCAAAATAAATTTAAGAACAATATAAATTTAAATTGCATGTGATTGGGATTAGATGTTACTAGAAGCAACAATTTTTTCTTAATTTTATTAGAAGATTTAATTTTGATTCGATTATTATGTTTAAACTCCATGAACTTGAAGTCATTTAAAAAATTTTAACGCAAAAACCAATATACATATCAATGCAGTTTAATTTCCAATCGTTATTTTTCATCATACTTGATAATTATATCTTTTTAAATTAAAATTTTAATTGAAAATTTGGCATCGTGAAAGAAATGCACAGTTCGAAATCTGTCCTCTGCTATTTATTTAAAATTGAAAAACGATGATTCAGCAGGAGTTTCATGTTATCCATCTCGAAAGACTGACATCGCCAAGTGGGCGGTTGGTGAACGGCGAGAATTATGACGAAAAATCATGGAGATAATTGCCGGGTAATGACGCTGCCCGTCACCGTGTGTGCAAGCGAGCCTACATTTATCCATGCACCGCGCCAGGTTGATCTAACGGGACTGGATGCTGCTCGGGTATTTATAATAAAGTACTTATACACATTTCTTTTGGCGCAAGTGCATTTTCCTCACCGGAGCCAACTGATGCAATCAAGAGAAAGAGACAAATTATCATTCATATCAGAGTGAAACGGGATTTTTGTAATTGAAATAATGTACTGAATTTATCTATAAAATAGTTACTCCTTCCGCCCCTGCGAACTGGTTGAAGAAATTTTTTTTATTTTTTTTTAAATTATTATAATTAGACATGACTTTGACAATTCATATAATATTTTGTAAAAGTTTAAAAAGAAAAACATGCCCTAAATTGAAGGTGACAATTTAAAATTTTGGTTTTAATAGAATTAAAAGACAATTTATAACCAATGATATAAATTTAAAGTTTTTAATTTAAAACTAAATATAAATAAATGGAAAAAATGTACAATAACTTAAAACTTAGTTTAAAATTTAAATTAAATATTTGAAAATAGATTTCATTATTAATTATACAAAGTATTTATATTTTTCTCCCTAGAAATTGTAAAATATGTGAAAGAAATTTAAAAAAATTTACAATTTACCTCTTTAATTGAAAGATAATTTTTGTCCTTGTCGATAATTTGCATCTCATATTTTGCTAAATTTTTTAAGCTTCATAAAATTAAGGGCATATAAAAAAATCCTAAGCTTTGCTGATTATTTAAGGACATGAATCTCTTCCTATGTCATTTTTGACGTTGCTTTTTATGGCGTTGCTCTCTGTAGTGTTTCCCTGCAAAAAGTGTTGAAGAGGAAGGCATATTCAAGAGAGTCGGTTTGGCACATTCATGAATATTCAAGCCGCAAAGAAATGGAGAGTGAGATTCACTTTTTAAATGGAAACGAGAGCAAATGAAAGTAAAATTCGTAGGCTTGCTTTTTATGACGATTCCACTTTCCTTTTTTCTCATGGCGCGCGACTCTAGCTCATTCACATAGGCAGCGTCTCTCGACGAGAACCTCCTCATTGTGCACAAATAATATCGCCGCAATTGAGAGTGTCCTGCTGCTAATCACCTCTGCGCGCTCTCGTTGTTTGAGATTTCGGACTCAAAAGTCGCGGCGCGAATAAAGGGACAGTAAAAAGTAGTATAGTAGACCGGCTTGGTTTCTCGCGGCTTTTGCGTGGACGTACTTTGGATAGAGCGGCTCGAGCTGGCTTTTTAAGCGCCACTGATGTCGAGCGAGTGAGAGAGAAGAGGTGAACGACCGAATTTTCCAGCAAAAACGCGATGACTGGCTGCGGAATAATGTAATTCAGAGCATTTTTGACTGTGTATGGTGTCTGCCAAAAAAAAAAAATTGCTTGCATACAATTTGAGAATTTCCCCTCTTTGTGTGCAAAAATTTAAATAATACACAAGTTAAACAAAAATTAATAAATTCACCAAATTCACTCTATTTCCTTCTGCTCCATATTTTTTTTGCAAAAAAAATGGAATACAAAATCATTTCCATAATCACTGAAAAAAATTAACTGTTCCAATAAAATTTTTTTAAATTATTGCACTGCTTTGTCCAATAATTTAATGCTTTTGTATCTTTGAAATTTATTTTTGTTTTGCAATTTATTGAACATTCTTGCAGCAATTGTACAAATAAACATCATTAATTAAGGACTCCTCATTGACATAATCAAATCAAGTCTTTACTACAACGTTGGTTGAGATTCCAAATTATTAAGAAATAAACAAAAATTGCTCTTATTGTTGCAAAGACTTGATTTGACTATGCCAATAAGGTGTTCTTAATGTTGAAGAAAGTCAGGAAAATAATTTGACTGTTCATTTATTATGATTTATAAAAATATAACCTTAAGAAAAATGGCTCTTACAAAAAAATTCAGCTGTAAATAAACATCAGAATTTCAATTATTCAAATTGGCTTTGACTTATTAACCATCAGAGGAGAGTTTTGAGAAATTAAAATAAAAGAGATATGCCAAATCAAAATGATTCAAATTGTGACCAAAAACTTTTGGTTCGCCACTTAATTTTTGGGAAAAAAGAGAGATTAATGCAATTAAGCCATTTAATTGGCCTAAGAAAGTTTCCCCACCCCAATACCCAATGCTTCTGACTGCTTTTCAAACTTAAGTTTTTTTCAGGCTTGCAGACTTAGAATCTTTAGTTTGCTGGAAAATCTTGTGTTCAAGAAGAAAATCACGTCCAAAAATCGCAATTGAAGATACGAAAAAGTGCGAAAAAGCTTTTTTTGTGGATAGGGTCTCTGGCGGGCGAGTCTCTCAATTTTTATTTTAATTAGCTTGGCTGCGAACTCGGCGCGGCGTGTGTAAAATATCGCATGGAGTGAAAGTTCCCCTGCTAAATATACCGCGGACGCACGCGGCAGATCCGCGCGTCTCCGCTGCCCAGCCTGATAAAGATGCTGAACCAAGTTCACTCACTCTCGGCGGCCGCCGCGCGCTGTGTATGAAATTATAATGTTTTGGCCCGCCAAGGAGAAAGGAGTGTAAGTACGGTGGCGGAGAAAGTTCATATATGTGAATATGCAGCATCTTGTGGGCAGCTACGCTGGCATGTCCACTCGATTCAATAAAAATGACACAAAGGGCTGATCGCTGTAAAAGACAACTTGCTCAAGTTATAAGTGATTTGGAATTAAATTAAATATTATCACGCTCCATTTAACTCTCTATAAAATTTATACTCAATATTCATTTTTTTCTTCTAAATTTATCCAGTTAATACTACCGCTATAGAAACGAATCAGAACATTTGAATGCATAATTTACTTTCTCATTAGCAGATCCTTTCAATTAATCATGATCCGGGTAGACCTTGATTCCCTTTTTAGGAGTGTAAATCTGGCCATTCAAATTTTAGTCAGTTTTGTATTAATAATCTGACTTTTTTTTAGCCAATTTTCTACAATATTTTACACTGAAACTGTAGCATTGGCTCTGCTTTTATTTTAAAATTATTTAAATGTATGGAAGGCCACAACTGACTATAATCTGCAGATTTTAGGTGAAACACAAAATTATCCAACTATTCATAGCCACCAATAGAGAATTTAAATATATATTTTTAAAGAGTTCTCAATCATTGTTGTTTCAATGTAATTTTAACTTGGTTTTATATACGGTTTTCGTTAAGAATTTGATTGCTGATTTGATATAAATGATTGAAAAATAAAAATATTTTAGGTGAAAATTTCGCCTAAAAATCTGAGAAGATTAATTTTAGTATTTACCTGTTTATTTATGTTGGGAAGAAATTACAATTATCTTAAATTTTTATCTTCATTGTAAATATAAGAAAATGGAATAATAAAATCTTGCATATTTAATATTGAGTGGCGTCAACTTTAAAACACTTAAAAATATAATAAAAAATGCAGTTCATTTATGCTCCATTGATATTGAATATTCAAATTCGCTTGCAGATAATTTATTTGAAAACAAAACGAAATCATCTGATTTTGAGATCCTTCAAATACTTAAATTTAATAATATTTTTTTATTTTCAGTTGCTTTAAACTCTTGACCCCTGGTTGCGACGGTGTTATGCAACCGCTCCAGACAGACGTGCTCGCCACCATGCATAAGCACGAAAATTTCAGGCGCTCTGCTTCTCTTTGACGGAGCAAACAAGTGCGTAATATCGGTCGCAATTAAAATGATTAAAATCGCACATATATACGTGAGTTGCATTATTTCCTGATTTTCCAGGGTTGAAGGTCTTTCGGAAGCAAGGATGATAAAGAAAAATACAAGAAATGTCCACGACCGCGTAAAGCACCTGCCTAACTTGTAGGTGCCGAGACCACTTTTCTTCCTGTTCTTTCAAGAGCTTCTCGTCTATGTTCATCATTGCATAATTTTTATAAGTGGAAAACAGATATGACGCTGTTTATCAAGAAATGATATTTGTTTGTATTAGTATTTTTATATAATTATAGATTAATTGTGATAAATATTAGATATTTTTTTAGATGTTTCAGTTTGAAAATATGCGGAGTTTTCGAAGAATTATTTTCTGAGAGATTTTACGCGGTGTACAATAAATTTCAGAGATATGTTCAGATTTTAACTGTGAATTGCCAACCATCATACGAATTCTTTTTTTACCAGATTATTTAATTACATTTTAAAGAAATTTATTTCAAATATTATGAAAAGCAATTTTTGTGAATTTGAGTTTGAATACAAATGAAATTTACAATTTCAACCCGTTCTCAAAACAAGTTCTTATTTCACCAAGTTTCTTTATATATGTATATATAAATTTTTAAAAATCTTGAAAGAAAAAATTTTATCAAATATGATTTGCAGAAAACCACCATAATTTAGATTAATCAACTTCAAAATATCCTCACTAAAAAAGCAAAAGTAATTTTTGAAATAAAAACTTCTTAATCACATTAAATCAGTTTTTCATCTTGTTTCACCTTCTAAATAACTTAAAATTTAATTTATTATCTATTTAATTACTTCTATACAATTTTAGTAGCACCCATTTTTCATTATAATGAAGATGATGAATGTTGTTTAGCTTTATTTTCAACGCGTATATAATTCAAATAACAGTACAAAACTGCACCCATCAATAGCTGCAAAAAAATCGCGGGCTGGCGATGAACATTGTGGACGCGCGCACAACAATAATGCACAAGAGCCTGACTAACTAAGGCTGCCCTTGTGCGTTTGAGTTTTCGCAAGGTCGTCACAATAAGCCGGCTCGCTCGGAGGATATTAATAAAAGTTCGCCTTGTGCATACGAACCTTGCTAAAATCTTTCTCCAGCAGTGCGCGGCTCTCGCACAATATTATAAGAGAGTGAGCAAGCATTCAACATCTCCTTATATTCCACACCGACTAACCTTCCCGATAGTCGATTTTAACCCGAGGTCCTCTGCTTCGTAGCACCGTCAAAATTTCCAGTTTCGTAACTGAGATGCCCTTGTTGTGACCCTTTGATCCTGTGACTAATCATTAAAACCAGCGCCCAAGATTTAAATTTCCTCATATAAGTAAATTTCAATATAATTTATTATTAGGGTTTCCCGCAGAATATTTTGCAATTTATTCCGAATTTTCGGTCTGATACTAATAATATCAATTAATTTATACTAAAATTTAAACATTATTACAAAATTTAGGAAAGAATAAATGAAATATTTTCATTTTCCTTCTATTATTTAATTTTTTTACTGCCGCTATTGATTAAAAATGTATTGTAAAGGACAAAATGTACATTAAAATATTTATTAAAAGCAGATTTTCTTGAGTCTGATTTCTGCAAGTGTTTTGATCTCTCTAGAAAAGGTCAAATATTGTGCTAGGGAAAAGTGGTTGAAAAGTGCACTGCCTCGCTCTCGCACCGAGCAAAACCTCGTCTTGGAAAAAATACTTGTCTAGCAGGTTTGAAAATTTATAAGCAAAGCTCGCACTATAAAATGATGGCCTCGGGAACAAGATACTTTGAATGCAGAGAAAGAGGTACATAATCAGTCTGAGATGGATTTTTTGAGGAACACATATGCTGCAATTATAACGCACGAGAGCAGTGATTATTACAAATCTCCAATCTGGTTTTGTAGAGTACGAGGAACTGACTAGTCAGAAGAGCTTTCCTCGCTTCTCTTACAATTAAATATAGGCATAGAGAGGAATTCCTGCTTTTCTGCGACTCTCTCACGTTGCAATTTTTGTGAGCAGAAAGGACGCGAGTGACCTTTTGTTAGGAATTACACACGCACATGCATATCCTTACGCCGACCTTCAGACCTGATATTTAAATGATCTTAATTGTGGCTTTAGAACAGGAAGACAAGACGAAAGGAAAGTTGGTGGATATATGCAAGGTTTAAACAGCTTTTGTAATTAACCCCCAAGTTAATCAAGTCTGCTAGGTCATTCCGTTGAGAATGAAATTATAAATTATTGCCGAGTAAAAAGATGCAAATAAATATTTATTAAAAAAAAAAATACTTCTATGATTTTTAATTGTATTTATTTTATTTGTTACTCAGAGGTGTAGTTTTTATGCTCTTTTACATTCATTAAAATTTTTATATATTCTTATAATGTTGAAACCTTCAAGCTTAAAATACACGAAACCAGATGCAAATAAGAATAGTTTAGCCAAAGTGCCAACATTGTGCTATGCTTTAAACTTTATAATTATTCATTTTATATGTCGCCTGCAAAAAGTTAAAACGAAGTATATGAAATTAAAAAAAAAATTTAATATGTAACAAAAAATTTATTACAAATTTTATTTAAAAAATTTATAATTGAATTAAATGTTTGAAATAAAAAAGATTTACTTAATATATATAAAAAAAAATTACTACTAAAATTTTAATTAAGGTCTTTGTATTAACAACAACAAATTATTATTTTGCATCTGAATCAATCTGAATGCAACAACTAACAACATACAAGATTCATTACAAATTACAAATTTTTGTGCGTTAACGTCGAAGAAGAAGAGAACGGACAATTTTAACTTCAGTTTCATTACGCGCTTGCAAGGTACAAAATAGTGCGCTTACGTACACCAACATTTTATGAGTCTCTTCCCGTTAGCTCGAGATTTGTAGCTCACCTGGCAAAAAATGCATGAACGTCTCTGCATTTGCACGCGGGAGATAAAAGCGGCATATGGCTAATTATTCATCGCCACTACCTGCTGCCGCTCGGAGAAATGACCTTGGTACAGTGACATTGCAAACGATAGGTGTAAATATATGAATGCGCGTTTGCCACTTGATGAGCATTTAACGCACGTATTCGCGTTTCGAAACCAAAATGAATAGACATTTGCGCTGCACAACACACACGCTGGTGTTTCGCTTTATTGCCAAATCTGCATCTCTATGCATTGCAGAAATTAACTGCCAACGAGAGTCATCCGCAAGGATATTTATATCCCTTGTGTATATGCAAAAGCGCACTCATCGCAGTTGGCAAATCGAAATATTGGTAATGAATAATTCATTTGTTTTAATTTGTATATAATTAGATACAGACTATAGGAAATTAAAAAAAAACTGATGAATAAATAAATTAACTATGCGGCCTTGTCATGTTGGAAACAGCGGTTCTTGTTATCAACATTCAGTGCAGTAATTTTTTTATCATTTTATTTGTGAGATTCCACAGACTGAATGTCTAGCGAGTCAATAAAAAGGGAGAGGCAAAAGCTGGACTGGTGCATTCATGTTAATTACAGTAAATTTTGCAGAACTGCTTGAGTAGAAATAGGACGAAAAAATTAAAACGAATTATTATAATTTATTTTTGCTGTTGCTTGTTTTTAAAACCACATTGTTTGAATATAAAATTATTTGATAATTTGAAAAATGCGCAAGAAAGGTTTTTTGGACTTGTAAAATTCTTGCTAAAACTTCCAAGATCAAAAAATGACCCCATCTGGTGCACTCAGCCTCTTGTTGACCTGATTTATTAGTTATTATATAATATTTTTTTTTGGTCATTTGTCACTTTAAAATTGTCCATAATTGCACGAAATTAAAATAAAATTGGTTAATAATTATTTAAAATAATTTGTGCATATTAGCGATCAAGGATTAAATATATATTTTATTCAAAATAATGAAAATATTAATCAAATATAAAAATATAACAATTATTAATGAAAAAAACTTAAAATATTCAACATGATTCAGCATAAATAGACGAATGTCTGTGATTTTTGTAATTTTAATTTTAAAAGCTTCAGAATAATAAATTTGTATTTCTTTTAAAATGGAGACATTTTTTTTACTCTTTTTTAACATAATTAAATTAGTTGTAAGTGCAGGTTATCATTTTGAAAGAATCAAATTAAAACAAAATTCACAAACAAAACGTTGTCGATTTAGAAATTATGAAATTTTTATTTTGCAGTTAGTTCGATTCAAAAGTTATGATGAAAATTGCTAATTGTATCTTAAAAAATTTAGGCTTTAAACCCCATCCTAAATGAGATTAATTATGTCTATGCAAAAATTTACATATTTTGCTTAAAATAGAGACTTGAATTTTCATAATTTTATGTATATGAAACAAAAAGGGGACTCTAGGTACAAAAAGAATATAAAATGTGGATTACAGCAATAATTATAATTCTAAGACTTTCTCATTAAGAAGCGATTAAATAATTTGAAACTTTTCACCTCCCATTCATAAATGATTTTGTGCAAACTGCGTTGTCAGTGAAAATTCTGCAACGGTAGAGAGCAGAGAGATCTTGGCACGAGTCGAGATATTGAGCAATAAAAAAATCTTTCGGGGGGCTGCAGGTAGGCGAGTCGGGCGCACCACTACTTGGTTGCGAGCTCATGCGATGCACACAGAGTCGCGTACATAATTAGCTATGTATGGCATTTTCAGCCGCAGCTGATTGCTTATTATTGCCGAGTGAGAAGGCTCGGGCAAGGCAAGCCGTTGACCCGCTCACGTCACTCCGCGTGACGTCACGGTGGATGGATGGAACAGAGACTATGCAAGCGAGTTCACCGCTCCTGTGCGGCCACCGGCTTCAAACACACTAGTTCTTATCGCCCAGCTCTAGGCATTAAGTCCGAAATGTGTATAGAGTGTGTGCTTTATGGAAAATTTTAAGCAGAAAGTACAGTTTTAGGGCAGCAGTTAAATTTGCTTAGGAAATTAAATACAAAAAATTACTTATTAATTTGTTTGAAAATGCCGGAAAGTGCAGCAAACCAGTTGATAAATTAAAAGAGAAAAAATCAAGATATGGCAAAATATTTTTAAGCGCAATCCCTAATGCGTATATTCCATTAAAATACATTTGCAGAGAACTAAAAATTATGATAGAAGTTTAATGTTTGTTTATTAATATTTGATCAATTAGAAAATTATCATCGTTTTTTTCTAAAATATTATTGACTTTAAATATTGGATAAAATTGTAAATTGTAAAATTACAATTCACCAAGAAAAATAATAAACAAAAACCTGGAGGATTCTTTTTATAGAAATTTGAAAGCTCAAGAAGTGTTCCCATGCCTTAAGCATAATTAACTCCTAAAACAATAATTTCCCTTTCAAGTAATTTGCAAAGGTTTTAAGCCCAATTAACTGACTCTCCAAACAAAAACGTCGAGCATTATACAAATTCCCATAGCGAAACTTCACACAACACTCTCATCCGCTTAATAGTCGTTTGGCACAACAACCTGTTTGATGCTTCATCCTTCTGACAAAATTATATCTTTCATCTCCGATTCACAATTAAATTTGGACCAATAACATTCTATCATTTTTTGCATGGCAATTCTAAATCAGGGTGGAAAGTTTAGAGGAAATATCTGGAAAAGCGAGAATTTGTTTGAGCGTGTACACGTATATATGACGGGGCGGTCAACGAACCCTGTGTTTACAGTGAACAGCAGTGCGGTGAACGCACCGTGCGCCTGCTGCCTGTGTTAGAACCGCACACATTCGGCCAAATGGTGGACTTTTGAGTGGCGCAAAAGTGGAATGATCGCACCCCCTTCCGACTTAAGAATAATCTGGCGTTGGGGTTCAAGATCCGCGTGATTGACGCGATTCAGACTTGACTCTTCACAGCATGAAATAGCTGCTTAATTTGAGTTTTAATATTTTCAAGAGATTTGAAATTTAGATATGAATGCAAGGAAATGATTTAAAATAATTTAAGTTTGTTAATATATTTATAAGCTACTTTCTATAAATAGCAAAAATTATTTTTATTTAATTATTTGAATACATTCAATTTATTTAAATAAATTAATAAAACAGCACATAATATGACTAAAATAATACAAATTGTATTGATTTTAATAAATTAATTTTATATAAAAATTTTATAAATATTTTTTTTACGTAAATAAATAATTTCTTTTAATCTTGTATTTTTTTAATACTTTATTTTTTGCTCTGGAGATTTAATATTTTTTATTGATTCTCGTCTAAAATTATATGAATCGCAATTATTTATCATTATAACAATTTAGGAATTAATTTGCTTTGCTGCTTTACATCGAGAGGCGCGCGACACGTGATTTCGCCTTTAATAGTAAAAGAAAGTGTCGGTGGCACACGCAGTTTCGCAGTCAGGCGCGGAGGTTATTCACACCTGCAGCCAACATCACAGAAACAACCCCCTTCTACTCCCCGTGCGAGAGTTTTTCCACCCCATCCCCTCCCTTGACGCCCGCGAGACTAGCTCGCATTGACCCCAAGTCGCAAGAGAGTATGAACTCGCCGCGTTGACCATTGCTCGGCAACGCCAGGTTTTGACCGCGGAACAGTAAAGTTGCACCTAATTATCGTTCAAACCCCCATTTTGATATTATCGCGGTGAAAACTGCTTGCTTTCTTTATCACTGACAATTTATTTATTTCAAGGCAAGTAGTCTGAATTTGCGACACATTAAAACTCTTACTTCCTACTTTTCATTTTCTTTAATGAATTTAAATTATTACCACAGAAATCACAGAATATCTAATTTTGCGAATTCTCAGCTGGTTTTTATTAGTTTATAAAATTTATTTTATTTTAAATAATTTTATTGCATTATTTATGCTGAAAATTTAAATATTATTTTTTAAATTCTGTTAAATTCTATTTATTACATACAAATTATCTATTTCTAACATTTTTGGTTAAATGAACTAAAATTAATTATTAATAGCAAAATTTTAAGTAAATAAAAATAAAATGCAATAATTGATAAAATTTATTTTGGAACTAAAATTCAAGTATAAATTAATTTAAATAAATTAGGGCCAAAACTAACAAGCACAAACTGAATGTTTTGTGTCAACTCTAGTGAAGATGCATTGCTTCTGTGAACTACTCAATAGAGTTCAATAACTCTTGTTGCTAATTTAATAGGACAGACTAGAGGGAGCGTGTGCGTGCAGCGTTTTGCAACGGCGCCTGCCTGCATAGGCAACCTGCTGGAGGTCAAGTGCAATAAAAAGTGCACGCGGCGGGGCTATCCGTTTACCAATGCTGCTCACAATGCATGTATTCGTTTCACGTTATGGTCGTGCGTGCGTCCATTCAGATGACATGCAAACGCGCGAATGTAGCGGGACACAAAAGAAATCGAAAAAACTAGCTGCATTATGCATGTGCGCGTCGGACAGTTGGATATAAACGCAGCTCGATTTTGAATGTTGTTTGTTGTCAATGAGTGACGTTGACGAGGATGCAGGAAATCTAGCTGCGGTTATGATATATAGTGCATCGTTTCGGAGTGCACGTGCAATTTCCATTTCGACGGCGCCAAAACGAAAGGGAAATCGTTTTGTGGTTGTTATATGCACGCTCGCGTTGTTAGGAAAATCATTGAAACAAAAAATGACTATTGAGGTTCTCAAATTGTAAATAAACTCGGTCTCGTCATTAACTGGAGAAATTCTTAGATAATTTGGAGGAACAAAATTATAAAGTTAAATTGTTGAGTTGCAATTTTTAACTTTTATTTCCTTTGTAAAAGCAGAATATGAAACTTTAAGACTAAAAAATAAGAGTAAGTTGAGTTAAAAAAAGGTTCAGCAAAATACCATAAATTTCGCAACACAAAATTTACGCTTTGTAGAATTAATAACCTCGGTTCGAATATTTGTTAAAATTTAAAATCATTTCCTCTTCTTTTGCATTTTAAAACGATGAAAAACGACTTATTCAGGAAAATATTTTTGTTTTTCAAAAAAATTTTGGATTATTTTAAGAAAAGTTTTAAAAATCCTTTTAAATATCGGACCTTTTTTTCAACTCTGATCTTTTTCGAGACTTTTTAAAACTAAGTGAACTTTTCATTGACATATTTTCACAGAATGTTTATTTTTACTTTAACATCATCACTATTTATCAATCGTCTGTGCAAATTTCATTCAAACTTCAAAGGATTAATTCATAATTTTAAATTTTTGAAAAATTTAAAATTTATTAGAATATAAAGTGTCTTTCTTTGTCTTCTTAAAAATCAATACTAGAAGTGTAAAAAAATTAAAATATCGTACGATACTTTTATTAATTACTTCTTTTATATAAAATTTGAAAAATCGTCATAATTATAAACTTTACAATGACTTCCTTGCTTAAAAACGTCTATGGTATTTTTTTTAAACTTAAACAAAATTTTATGCTGCAAAAAAAAATACCGTTTCAACTTTTTTCAACTAATAATTAATATAAATCAGTTCAATATAACTTAATTAAACACCAAGACTAATTTTCATTCTTCAATTTTTTTTTCTTTAATTGAAAAATTACAGGTAAAATTATTTTGAACATTGATCTAACCTGCGAGGAAATCACAAAAGGGAGACAAATCATGTGTGCGATCTGCTGAATAGAAAGTGGTCGCGGCGGGCAAAAAACTGCACGCCGAGTAAAATACAAGGAACGCGATGTTGAGCCTTGTGAGAGTGCATGGCGATTGACAGATAGGCGCGAGCGATGGATAGAAAAGAGATGCGATCAATGCACTCTCGCACGTTGGTCGGCCAACGAGCTTGTCTCGCGGGCGCGGGCAATTGCACGCGAGAGAGCAAGTGAAAGGGATCAAGGGGAAAAGTGCAGCCCTCGGTTGACCTGCGTGGCATTTTCGCTCATGATCCCTGACCTTAAAACAATAACAAAAATCAGCTCGCATCTACGGTCGATCAGTTTTGATATTGCTCAGTATTGGCAAGGAGTATAATAAATAATTGTGCTTTTCTCAATTCCTATCACTGCATCAGTTATAAAACTATAAAATCAAAACAATCGTTGTTTGAGCACCAAATCGCGTTTTGAAAAAATTCCCAACCAATAAGAAAATTTTAATGATGATATTTTTGTAAAAGAATAAAAAATATAGATTTATAAGTAAAGTGTAAATAAAAATAATTAGATAAGAAAAAAAATTAAAAATTAAATGAAGGTTTATGATAGTCTCTTTTAAATTTTGATTCATTTGCAGGCATTTCAATAATTTTTTCACTTGATAAGCAAATAAGAATTTTTGTGAACTTGTATTGCAATGAACCACGTTGCGCGTAAATTATTGATTTTTTAACCGTCACAATAGGTCGCTATGATAGTTTATTCACCCCACGGCTTGAGCGTTCGAGCGATTTCCAAACGTCTTTATATTAATTAAACTGCACGTGCATGTTTTTGCAAATTAATTTTAATTTTATGTTTAAACTTTAAACCTTATTATGCAGTGGTAATTTTATTATTTTTTTATTGTTAGTAATTTTAATTTAATTTTTTCAGTTATTTTAATTGCAATTCCATTTTTACAATTATTACCTTTAATATATATAGATAATTTTTTTTATTCAACTAAATTAATTAAATATTAAAATTTTATTTTAATTAATTTATAAATTAAAGCTTTTTGAATGACTACAAATCTTTTATTTAGAATTTTTAATTTGATAACTCAAATTGATGCTCCGCTAATTCTTGTTATAGAACCGTTTGATGTGGTTAATAAAATTAAATAATAATTAATTGATTCTTGATTTTTTTCTAAAACACAAATTAAAAGATAAATTGTGCCTTTTGCACCACGATAAAAGGGCACAGGCCGACAAGACTCTCTTTGGCTGGTGACCCTTAAAAAAATTTTGTATCCAGTATTTAAAATAAACAAAATATTTCAGCAATTGAATTTAAACAAAATGTAATGTAGCAATTTGGACAAATAAACTAAAAATCCAAATAAAATTATGTGATGTAAATTTGATTAGAACCTTACCTTGGGCTCCTGCTGGTGTCCTTTAACAGCGATCCCGTAACATGGCAAATTAGATGCAATCCACACTCCCCACGGACCAAGTGTTATTAGGTGTTGGTGCAGCACCACCAACGCGTGCGATCAGTTGACACGGTTTTGTTGTTGTTATGCATGTGCAAACTGCAACTCGGCGCCGAGGGGGCCTTCGAATGACGTACGTCCCGGTGTCCCGCGGGTAAACGAAATAATCTGTCCTATGGCACAGACACACACAGTCACTCTCACGTGCGTTGCTGGCGCACGTACTGCAAGGTGCATCCAAGCAGAGGACACCGGCGGAATGGAATGACACACGAGGTGTGCTCGCAGCGTGCGCACCAAGAAAAGTCAGGTGCGGAGGATCGAGAGAGGCGAACGAGAGCTGCGCGCGGCCGCGCCGATCCACGCAGCCTGACCGACCGGCACCGAATGTGTGCTCTGATGAAAACGGCCTAAGAAGAGGAAGATGATACGAGCCAGTGAATAACAAGAGACAGCCCGAAAAATGCTTTTGGTGCGCAAAAGCAAAACAATCATGTTATTTCAGAAGTTTCGGAAAAATTGAAAAGCTCTTTTCAATCGTTTTGTCCAACAATTCAATTGTTTCAAAGTACCCAAAATTCATTTATTCCTTGAAATGAAATTTTTTGAAAATATTGGACAAATAGACAAACAACAGTATCAATAATTATTTCCTCCAATCAGTTGTTTGCAATCCGCTCAACAAAATTTTAATTTTAACAAACATTGCAATAGCAATATTTTTTTATAAAAAAATTTATTATAATTTAAAGCTTGCAGATGTAGGAGGTTTCAAGAATTGGCCATTTTCGCAGACTTATAAAATTTAATTCACTTAATAATATATATCATACATCTAGAGAGTTTTCCCATTGAAATTGGAACTATATATTTGGGTCTGATGCAAAATAAAATTTTCAAACAACATTCAAGATGTTAACAGTTCATTTTGCTTAATGATTTGCTTAGCAGCTTTTTCTTCAGTTATAAGTTGAAATTTAATTATATTTTATCACGGATTTTTTAATCATATCAATCGTATAAGAAGGTGTCCAAAAATAATGTATTTTTTAGGTGGTTTTTTTTTTTAATGAAAATTTTAAATTCATTCGCTAATTTTTTTCCTGTTTTCTAAGGGAATCTAGAATGTAAATTTACGTATGCTTTTAATATTCCACTGTGACAGAATTAAATTTTGAATTTATTTGTTCAAACGTTATCAATTCTGATTTTGGATGCCAGGAAACTCTAAATATGTGTCTCTAGAAAAAAAGAATGCACTTCGTGTCACAGTTTTTGTGCAGAAGTGATGTGAAAACTGCTAGAAACATTTTTTTTTTAATTGGTACATAAATAAAATATTAAAATGCTTTATGATAGTATTTTAATTTTTAATAAAATACAAACATGTTTTTGAAAATCATTTTGGGACTTCCAATTCCAACAGAACCTACGGCGTTGGTTGCCCTCTTTGCCACTCCCAAGAGGGATAATAAAAAATATAACATAATATTTTCCATGCCAAAACTCTCTCAAGTCCTTCAATGAGGAAAAACAATTCACATGATACTGAGATATATCATTTTATCATGATATTCATGATTCTTGCCCCCACGAGGGCCAATTTCACATTTATGTTCCATTTTTCTCTTTCGTTTTTTTCAAAGTATATATAAATTTTTTTCACTAAGTGTTGCGTAATAAATTATATATTTTTGTGTAGAGGGTCATGCACCGAAAAATGCACCGCGTCTTCCCTGTACTTTCGGCAGCGGCGGACAATCACCTCTGCAGATCGCTAAGCTCGAGTGCTGAGAGAGATGGATGCTCGCTCAGTCGCGGTTTGCGCTTTTGTTCTCACAGTTTTGTCTCATTGTGCAAAATTAGAAGGAAAAAAAAACGTTCGCACACAGCGGTGAAAGTTCATCACTTTCGATTGATTTGCTCTATTGGATGAAAGTGAAGTCTGAAAAAACTTGGGCTTTGAGTGTAATTTAATTTATTAAATTTAAAACAAAAAAATAGAAATGTTCTAAATTTAAAATGAAAATTTTTATTTATATTATTTCCACTTGAAAACTGGAAAAAGCGGGGCAAATTTTAAGGTTTTCTTTTAAATTATATAAGATATCAAATTTGGAATTCAGATTTTTTCATTGACGCGTACAATTTTAGTAGAAATACAATCAATTCCTCTTGCTGCATATGTAAAACCAAAACGGTATATATGCGCGCCTTTCAAACATCTTCGCCCGTCAATGCAAATGCGCGTTTTTGACCTTGGCAGCTGAAAACGCTGCTCTTGCCTGGTTCAATGCTAGATAAGTAGAACAAAATTTAGGTCAGCGCATTGGCAAATTTGCAAATGTGACCGTGGGGAACAGAAGGCGCGGCCGAACAGTGTATCTCATCTGCAAACTCCTTTTGCCTCGGCTAGACAGAAAAATCAAAACTGATTTTTTTTTTTTTAATAAATTGATGTTACATTAGAATCCCGTTGCAAAAATCGGACCAAAAGAGAGCCACGTGTGAGACATTTTCCTTGATCAAAGAGCGTTTCACTTTTGAGAAGGGCCAACTAACTTGATAGTGCCACCATGACGCTTGTGTGACATTGAATTTGAAGGCGTTCATATATTCGGCACTGCTGACCTTCTAAATTATATACATACATATTGTATAACCAGCAAATTAAGTGAACTGAACGGCCCAGGTATTGTTTTATTTTAATTCATATCAATGAACATCATTTTTACGAATGAATTAAAAGAAATGAGAGTATTTTGAATATTTTAATTCTATATTAAATAATTCAATTATTAAAATTCTTCAAGGAATTACATTTCTATTCCATGAAATGACCTTGCAATCAACTAGACGTTTTAAAATTTTTAATGTAATATTTTACTTTTCTTATTTAATCAGGACGTTAAAAAACTTGCAGTCAAAGAATAATTTTCACTAAATTTAAACCAAATCAAGATATTACTTCTTAATTATTATCATAATATCAGATCAATAAATCATAAAAATATAAATTTATCAATGTTTTTCTGTTTCCAGATTTAATAATTTTATTACACCTTGCCGTTTTCGTGCGGCAACATTCTTGGCATGGCCAAGTCCTCGAAAGCAGCAACCAAGAAAACCTCACTCTCCACACTGCCATTATCCTCTGAACATATCTCATTCTTAGGGTTTTTCCCTCCTGTAAATTAAGAAAGTAAGCTTTTATTAATAATATTTATCAAGAAGATAACTTACGAAGCAAATTTAATCCCAGTAAACCTTCTGGGGCATCACCATCAGGAGCTACTTTTCCAATTAACCACTCAGAGAGCTCAGGAACAAAGTTTTCACTTATGTAAAGCATCTAGGAAGAAAAATAATTAATTATATGATTGATATATATTAAAGTGTATTTTACTCGAAATGCAATAATTTCGTTGGCCTTCGGAGTTTCAGTAACAGGAGGGAGATCGAATAGATTTTGATCGGTGTAGGAATCATAAGGGTTTTGTTTTTCTTCTTTAACTTCAATTGGTTTGAAAGCCCTCCTAAAAATTATTGGCTTTTCTGCAGCTTCTGGAGGAACTATTTCCGATACTTCCATCTGCTCGTCGTACTTATTCTCAGCGACCTCAGCGTATCCATTAGAGATTGCCTTAGGTAGAGGACCGTCATCGTCAAATCTAAAAAATAATTTAATTTATACAAAAAAAATTTAAATCACTTTTTTATCAACCTAATGTGCATTCGTTTATTGGAATTGTTCTCCTGGCGTCTTGGAAATTTCTTTGGCTCCGGAGGAACAATTTCAACCTTAACAATTTCTTCTTCACTCTGCTCTTCGCTTTTCTTTTTACCTCGGCGTTTTCTTGTCCTCTTGCGCTTTGGTAGAGGCCACATAGCATCCAAATTGTCTTCATTTAATTCCTTTAAAAAGTTTACAAATTTAATACTTTACATAAAAAAACATTTGTAAAACATACGTGGTCTGAAATCTTAGCATCAGATTCCACATTATTTGCAACACTCGGTGGAGATTCGACGGAATCGCTTGTTGTTCTCAATTTTTCCAAAGTTCTTGTTTCATTCTCAACAGCACGTCCAAATTTACTCCGGATCAATCTGAATTTATTTTTATTTTTTATTTAGCATTTAATACATAATTAAATTTTTGGAGATAATTTTGAATAATTTTTAAATCAACCTACTTCACAACATCTTCGTCTCTAATTACTCGAAGGTCGTCGGAGCCAAATAATATCGAGTTTCCTAACATTAGCTGCGTTTCTTCGGTGATGCCCATTTCCGTGGTGAGATAATTTTGCAAATCGGATACTTTCTTCAATGACTTGTAGTCGAGACTCTTGCAACAAGATTTTCTTTCGTCTTGAAAAAAGTTTGACATGTCAATTGTTATCCTGCTGAGCGGAGCGTAATTTGTGCGTTGCTGGTCCATCTTAAGAATGAATGGAAAAATTCGGACAAGAATGTGAAAAATTCAGGACGCTGAAACTCCATCCACTGAAAGGAAAACAACGCATGTATGTGTTGCTAAAAAGCAAAATAAGCAGAGTCGCCGGGAAGGAATCAAAACAGGACGATGTGCCACCTTGCGGCTTCCATCCAAAGCTCACGTTAACATTTAAAACCTTGATTTAAAAGAATTGCAATAATTAGAGAAATTCAGTTTTCAACCCCAAAATTAGAAATTCTCTCAAGATTTTATTTAATTTTGATTGTTTTTTTAAATAGTTAAATACAACCAGAAAACATTAATTAGCATAAATACTGATTGTTTTATTTCAATGGTTTGACTTTCAATATTTAAAAATGAAAATTCAAAAATTGGACCTTTCTGAAAATTACACTATATATTTAAATTATATTTTCACACTGCTGCATAGTTACATACTTTTTTATAAATAATTATATAGCATTCATGTGTAAAATAGGTACAATTCACGCCAATTTTCTTTCTCTGGACTGACTCGTAAAATTGTCTTTTGACATAATAAGTGTCACCGACTTTTGAATTTATCATAATATTCAGAATTAAGAAAACTGATATTATGTTCAAACATTTGTGTACAACAAAAGTATGTAGGCCCACTTGACTACAGTAACTCTCGACACTATTGATTGTGGCAATAAAAGCTGCTAATAAAAAAATCAGGAGAGCTTCAAAATGTACGATGATATATAATAAATAATATGCATATAGTACATAATCTGCAGAATTAAAGCAGCACTATAGTATTTTACGAAGATTCATAAATTGCTTATAATTATTATATAAAACAAAATATTAATGTTTAAGCTATTTTGATTTGATCACATCTCAGGTGATATTGTCATAATTCAAAGAGTACAATTTCATATTCAGACAATAATTATAAGACCAATAAAAGCAAGAGCTTCTAAGTAGGCAGGTGCCAAAGAAATTAGAAGAGCAAATCATTAGACATGAAACAAACAATCTTTGGCAGTTTTTGCATCATACAAAATGTGATCACCTTGAAAAACTTTAAATTAAATTTGTGCCTAAAGTTTCAACAAAATGCGCTTGAAATGTAGAAATATTAATTATTTCCAAAAAAGGTTTGACGAGTGTTCGAGAGAAGGTAGATCACACTGCATTATTGGCATTCAATCAATTTTAGAGTATTGGATTGTTGGTGTTTGCGGGATCTTCAGCTTAGTAAAATTATTTACACATTTTAAGAGCCCCACATTCAATGGCCGACATGATTGAACTCGTCATGATAAAATTCATAAAAACTCAGACCCAAACTCCGTGAGGGTTTTTGCTTGTCGGTACAGCGTTTTCCAGCTGTCTAGGAGAGCCAATCATTTTTCTTGAACTTCGATGAATGCCTGAGGAAAAATCTTTTCAAAAAAAGTTTGCAAAATATGAAACAGTTGTGTACCTTCTAATAAACAAGACCGCAGGCCTTCGTCGGATGACGGAGCTATAGAAAGGCTGTGCAAATTTGCATCTTTCATGTCTTGAACTAACAATTCCAGTTGTTTCTTCTTTTCTCCTATGACATTCTCTAGAGATTCAACCTACAAAATAACTTTTAAATTGCTGTTCAAAAATTAAATCTCAGCTGCCAACCTCTTCATCCAATTTTCTTCCCGACTCTAAATCCTTGGCAGTGACAGACTTTGCTTCTTCGACCTGCTTCTGCAGCTTTTCCAGTTGTGACATCAACTCGAGATTGCTGTTGATTTTTTCATCCGTATCCTCCATGGCAGCAGTTCGTTGTTCCAATTTCAACTCGTCAAACAAGTGCCTAAACGACTCTAAATTATAAAACGGAGATAAAATAAAACACAAAATCATACCTGATTTTAACACGACACTGAAGAAGTTCCGTTTCACAATTCGCCAGCTTGGACCTCAACAGGGTTATTTCTGATTTCAAAGTTTTTCCTTGCTGCTTGGAAATATCTTTCTCCTCCTCAATATTTTTCAAAGCCATTAGCTAAAATAATACAGTAAGATCACTAAGATTGGATTTTGTAGTTGGACAAACCTGATCTTCAAGCATCTTGCTGGTTTCTTGAAGTCTCAAACTCTCCTGCATACAATACTCTACTTTATGCTGCTGCTCTCGACTCTTGCTTTCCCAAAAATTAATCTCAGCATCGTACTGTAAAACAATTTGCAATAAGAATCGATTAAATTAATCAATCTCCTGTTTTACTTTTGTTAAGTCTGCCTGGAGGGAACCAAGTTTTTCTCGCTGCTGATTAACCAGTCTCATAAGTTCCTTATACTGCGGAGTCAAAAGGACGCTTGCACTTGGTTCACCACTTCCAAATCCACTGTCGATCTCCTCCTGTTGAGAAACCTTTTGGGCACTCTTCCGAGACATCTTGCTTGACGAACTTTGATTTAGATCACTGATCGAATTCTGCACTGATGGCATTGCAGACGATACTGGACTCGGAGACGGGCTCTTAGCACCGGATGCTTTGTAGAGACCAGACATTGACCTGCTTCGGTCAAAACTATCATCCACGAATGGATCGGGGGTACTCCTGGGGGAGGTGGCAGGATGGGGAGGCGCTCTGTATGGGGGAAGAGTTGGTTTCGGTGGTTCCCTGTACGGAGGTGGTGACTGAAATAAAATAGATTTAATTAAATAAATTATATGTGATCAAACGAACACAATATTACTTGGGTCTGGCTTGCAGATTTAAGATCAGAAGATGACGAGTCGGGACTAGGCTGCGGCTGCTGCTGAGGTGGTGGTTGCTGCCGCTGAGGCACTCCCTGCACCACCCCTATCCTGTGATTCTGGTAGCCAGTGCCAGAGCTTATAGTTAGAGACTTCTTGATATTTCGTGACGGCTCCGCGCCATCCTTTGGTGAGTGGACCATTGTTGTCGGCGAACCGCCAAACTTTGATGGACTCTGGTCGGAGGAACTAGGTGCTGTGGTTCGTTGGAGAACAAACTGGACGTCGTTCGAGTACTCGCCCCACTTGTTCAAAATCTGTGTAAAAAAACAATTTTAAGTTTTTTATGGGTTTCAGTAGTTAAAATGATTTTTTTAATGATTCTTATAGGGTGTTTGAAAGATTGGGGGAATTACGCCAGTGATTCGCTTGAAAGGAAGTTGTATAATGTAAACATCCGGTTTCAGAATAATGCCTCAACCATTAACACATTATACATCCATGGAACTGGCATGATTGAATAACAAATTCAATATTAATGCAAAAAACTACCTTTAGAGGATGCTCATTAGGTGCCAAGAGTCTTTCATTGTTTCTCCACCTTTCAATCAGGGTGAATCGACCTGTCTGGCCAGTAGCATGAGCCAGAGCGTAAACGATGTCCTGGGGGGAGAAAAGAAGACATTAATATCGACCTACTTAAAAAAGGGCCATCCCGTCTGAAAACTAACCTGGCACGACGTATTTTCAGTAACACCACAGATGATTCTTTGGATCCCTTCGACCCAGACTTTGAGCTCCATTGCGTTATATAATTTTTCAGTTCAAAAGTAGAAACTGACGGTCATGTTTGGCACAGGTCCATTGGAGCAGCATGACCAACTCCAGGCACTAGACCCTTGCAAAGCAGCGGCGACGCACTTGCTTGCACTTTACCATTGACTACACGATCAGATTTTCAGCTCGCTATCCGATTTAAGCGCCCGAAACTAACAACAAGGTGTGCTAAATGACCTAAAAATTTAGGCGACGACGACCACCAAAACAATGGGTTTCAGTGAGAAATAGGAATGGGCACAACCCAAAAACAGTTCAGCGCAGTAGCCAACTAAATAAATTTTTATTAGCAAATGTTCAATGCTAATTTTTATTAAAGGAGCTTTCAGTAAATTTTTTTTTATGTTAATTTTGATATTTATACTTTTTTTGTGGTAATTAAAGAAAATAAGATCAAATCTTACTGAATTAAATTTATATAAAAGCATTTTATCCCAGCAGTTGGCTAAACAGTGCCTTGAAGGAGCGATTTTATTTTCCATATTTAAATAAGATAAAAACAAAGAATTTTACGTGAACCGTGGTTTATACTTAAAATACAAATTAATTCTGCCGATTATCAAGAAAATTTGATGATGAATTCAAATTTGGTAAATTTATTCGGATTTTATGTGAGATTCTCGATATTTTACTCTTGATAAGTGTCCCGCCATTCGAATTCAAAGGCTTTCGGAAGTAAAACTGGTTTCGTTGATTGTTACGAGGTTGCGCGTCGGTAGTTCTCCACACTCGTTTATTTCATGACGCACTGTTGTGGCCATTAGAGAACGAAATAATTTTTACAAATCGAATTTGCACTTAAATAAGCGGTCATCGAGCTTAACCCTCGGACCAAAAAAATGTTAATCTGATCTTGAATAGGGTGAGTGAAAGTTGTTGCCCAGATTTGGCCCCACACGCCGAATTCTTGCCCCCAACTTGTTCGCTCGATTCGCATCATGGCGATGAGCAAAGCAAAACAGGATTCTCGAAATTTACACCACGGCTTACATTTCGCATTTTAGCAGCGTGCCGCAAACCTAGGCAATAATTGTGATGAGCATCCTGAAACAACCCGTTCTTTAATCGTGTAGATCTATTCCTTGAGCAGAGATGATAAGCATTCTGCGGTAAAATTGCCAAAGAATTTTTCAAATTGCAACGTTGGTGCCGATAAATTCGTCCGATTTATTTGTGTCATAAAATGCAAGAAGTCAATTGCCTTGGCACTTTACATCGTTGATAAAGTTTAAACTGCTAGCTGTGAATCAAAATATTGGTTTCCAGTATTCACGTATAAAAAATACATGGCCTTTTTAAATTCGCAGAGGAATTAACTTTTTTAATTATGTACACATCAGGGGTAGTATTTACCATTGTTCTAGAATAAATGTTAAATAATTGCAAGATTACTGCCTCCATGAAATTTAACTCTTGAATATTGAATAAATTGCTGGCATTGCTGACGAACTGCACTTTTGGCATATTTCACATTCTTGTTCAACAGAGGCACCAGATCAACCATGAACTTTTAACACTTCATAGCATGGCAACTAAGTCAGTCACTTTATGCATTTTATTTTACTGATTATGAAAGAATTCTGCAATATTCTTCCCTTATTTATTGTCCTTATCCTTTGCTATTTTAAAAGAAATAATTCTAAAATATTAACCAAGTTTGATTAATTTTTTCACAGAAACTGACCCTTTCGTACTAGAGAGGTGTTCACGATGAAAATCGACAGAACCAAACTGAAGAAAAGCCCCTCGGAGGTGCCTCTGGAGTGCCGACAACTGATTCAAACGCTACGTTCCTGCAAAGACGACAATGAGTTGCTGCAGGAGCTGCGCAAGATCGAGTCCTGGACGTTTGGCAAGTGCGAACTGTTCCACTGGACAGACATCCTGGACATCTGCGATGGCGTCCTCGAGAGGGCCACCACACCCAACTCCTGGTTGATAGCATGTGACGAACCAGAAAACCAACAGGTTGAAGATTAAATTTAAACTTGTTATGCTAATAACAATGATTTAAATAAATTTTAGCTGAAAGATTTGCTGCTATGCGTGTTGCATTTCACCACCTTGCTGATTGAACATTCATTTTCACGACACTTGTACAACTCAATGGAGCATCTAATCACCTTGCTGTCGTCCAGTGATATGAACGTCACCCTGGCAGTTCTAAATCTACTCTACATGTTCAGCAAGAGAAGCAATTTCATTCCCAGATTGAATGCTGGAAAGAAGTACGGAATAATCCGAAGGCTCACTCACTTGGCAGAGGTAACACTAAAAGCCACTAGAATTTTGTTTGCTAATTTTTCTGATTTTAGAGCTGGGGTGGTAAGGAAAATGGGTACGGCCTAGCAGACTGCTGCAGAGATCTTCCAACTTCTGTGAGTTTGAAATTTTCAGAATAAGAGTATTAGTTTCATTGACATTCCTTTCAGCATTTCCCTGCTGGAGCCACTTCGCTTCACTTCGAGTACTTCAACAACCCCCTTACTGAAAATGAAGCCAAGTTTCAGAAGTACATGAAGAGCTCATGTTCAAGCAACACCATCATCACAATCCACTTGGACGACGTGGACAAGATAAACAAGCCTCTCGGAGTCATTATGGAAGACCTTGTCTCTACGTACAATGTGCCTATAGATAAACAGGTGATTTAAACTCAAGGCCGTGAAAATCAAGGTTTTATCTTTTTCTTTGTCAGGTCCTGCTTTTTACCCATTTGCGACTGGCGCACTGCTTTGGAACTTTGGCTGGACGTCTGAAGTGCGTTCAAGTTCGGCTGCAGGCCTTGTCTGTGCTCATCTATTCAAATGCTCTGATGGAGAATGCGCACCAGTTGCTGTACAGCAATTTGCTCGAGGAAATCGTGGAAGTCTTGGAGATGCAGGATCCAGCGTTGGTGGAAATCAAGGCAGCTGCCCTTCGAACGCTCACAGCAATCATCCACCTGGACCGGAATCCGCACATGTCAAGGTTTGCGACATTTGTGTATATTTATCAGAGACTGTTTTCATATCATTATTATATAAAATCTCAAAATCGTCCATGCAAATTTATTTCCATATTTTTAAAAATAAATTATCTACAATTTATAGTTTCAATCTCGAAGACTCGTTTATTTTTTATTATCAAACTATAATTATCATTGCAGCTTCTCCAGGAACTGCAGACTCAACACAATCATAGATGTGACTGGTGCCTCGTCCTACCATGGATTCCTCCCCGTGCTTGTGCGTTCCTGCATTCAAGCATTGACTGCCGCACCCCAAAGTGACAGTCAACTGTTGAGCAGCACCAGCACTGCAGTTCCACCGTCGACATTCCCTTTGCCTTTAGCAACTGCCCTGTTCAGTTTCTTGTATCACCTTGCCAGCTATGAGCCAGGTGGAGAGGCTTTAGTCTCTTGCAACATGATGGAGAGCCTGCTGAAAGTCATCAAGTGGCCTGGCAGTGAAATTGAACACATTACAGTAAGTTATTTCCCGAGATATTTTTGTATATTAGAAAAGTATTTTTATTCTTAACTCAAAAACCAAACATAACCTTACAAGAACTAACAATAATCAAAATTTAGAAAATTGATGAATTGTTTGTAATGGTTTGCACAAACTAATTTTGTTTTCTCTTTCTTAGTTTGTTACGAGAGCAGTTCGTGTAATCGATCTAATGACCAACACCGACATGCAGTCATTTGAAGTGCACGGTGGTCTCAACACCTTCATCAACAGACTTGAGGTAACCATTTATTTTTATAGAATTAATTTATTTTTTATATTTTATATATTTGTCCCTCAGTGTGAAGTAAACATTTGTCGCACGGAACAACCGTTTGTAATCATACCTGAGAGCAGCAATCAGAATCAAGAGGGCATGATGGACATCAGCAGAGAAAGCTCTGTTGAGAATTCGCCCAGATCTCCTGAGAACAATGAGGAAGTGGCTAGTCCAGTGCGCCTCATGGATCCTAGCCTGTCCAAAGGCAGTCCACTACACTGTTTGCCGCAGCGAGCAGCCTTGCTGAAGTCAATGCTCAACTTCCTGAAAAAGGCCATTCAAGACCCAACCTTTTCAGACAGCATTAGACATGTAATGGACGGCTCTCTTCCTTCAACGCTGAAGCACATCATCAGTAATGCTGAGTATTACGGACCATCACTCTTCCTCTTGGCAACCGACGTGGTCACAGTATACGTTTTCCAAGAGCCTTCCCTCTTGACTTCTCTGCAGGACAACGGTCTCACCGACGTGATGCTTCATGCGCTGCTTGTGAGGAAAGTTCCGGCCACAAGAGAAGTTTTAGGATCTCTGCCAAATGTCTTCAGCGCCTTGTGTCTGAACGCCAGAGGCTTGGCAGCTTTTGTCAAGTGCTGTCCTTTTGAGCAAATGTTCAAAGTTCTTCTGTCTCCAAAATACTTAGCTGCTATGCGCAGAAGACGTAGCTCTGATCCAATGGGAGATACTGCCTCTAATTTAGGAAACGCTATGGATGAATTGATGAGACACCAGCCAAGTCTGAAGAAAGATGCAACTTTGGCAATCATCAAGGTGAGCATTACTGAACAAATTGATGCCGAAATAAATAGATCACACTTTTTATGTTAAAAACAAAAATTACATTACTTTAAAAATTTAAAATGAATTTAAAACTAAGCATAAAAACTAAATATGAAACAAATCATTAAAATAAAAACCATTCATATTTTAATGTACTAATAAATCTGATTTCTTCCAGCTGCTTCAAGAGCTTTGCAACTTGGGAACTGACCCAAAGTATGTTTGTTGGAGGCCTCAGAAAAAGCAAGAAGTGCCAGCGGCAATGCTCCGCAGTGGCTCTAGGGGTGGCAGCAGTGATGATGAAGAGGAAGAGGACGACGATGAAAATACGCAATCTAGGGGTGAAGAAGAGCAGCCCATTGAGGAGGGCCAGGAGAGGATTGCTGTTCCCTTAGTTGATTACATAGTCAATGTGGTACATTTAAAAAACAAGACCTTGCCTTGCATATTAAGTATTTCCTTTTTTCAGATGAAATTTGTGGACTCGATTTTGAGCAACAACTCTACCGATGATCACGTTAGAGAGTTCAAAGAGCAAGGAGGTCTAAAGCCTCTTATTTCGCTGCTTGGGCTCCCAAATCTTCCAGTAGATTGTACATTGCAATTGTCTTCCCAAGCAGTGTCTACTGTGTGCAAGTCAATCATGGTGAGTTAATGAAATGATTGTATAGCAGATGCTAAAACCCGTCTTTTATAGAATTTGTCTCACGAATCGGAGGTTCTCAGTGAAGGGTTCCGCCAAGTGGACCCTATTTTGAGGAGGTTGTACAAACTGCTAGATGCCGTTTCCTCAAACGAAATCAAGACCTCCACAGTCCTATTGAAGGAACTCTCTTCAGTGCCTGATATCAAAGAGGCTTTCACCTACCCAGATCAAACACCTGCCATCCATGCTTTTGCAGCTCTCAATGACTTTATGGTCATGTTCACACATGTCTGCAGAACAGCACAGGCTGACATTAGAGGGCTCAACTTGAGTATGTGGGGCTGTCAGGAGGGGAGTAAAGTGCTCGACAAGCTTGTGGTCATTTACGATCACATCGTGTGGGAGAGCACTGCCCTACTTGTGCTTCGAAGCAACGAAAACTTTGACATTACTGGTCACTTTGGCAAAGAAGATCTCCCCAAACTGGCAAGTGCTGATGATGTACCTGTAAGTCTAATATACATTAATTATGTTGCAATTTGAAATGTTAAAAAAATGCCATAATTATTTTAAAGGTCACAAAAGGAAAGTCGAGTAGCAAGTCTCTCATTTCCGAAATTGACTCTAACTCTTCGGACAAAGACAGTTACCCAGAAGTATTTCGAAAAGAGACGAGAATGCAGACCTTGGGAAAATCATCTGGCCTTTCAGACGCTCAGTTATCCAACCTTTCAAAGCTTGTTGAGCCTACGATCAGATTGAGACAATCAATGTCAGATTTCTTCTCGTTTTTGGTGAAGGTAAATCATTTGCAATAAATTATTTCTGAATATCTTAACCATAATTGATTAACAGTTGTGTGTTGGAACCCCTCTGAGGCAAAGACGTGGCCAAGCTGGAGGCAATTCTCCTTTTGTTGCCACTGCCCAGTCATGTGCTGTGGCCACCAGATTGGGTGCTGTTATCAAGAATGCTGTGTGGTACAAAAAATTCCTACAAGCCCCATATGACTACTTGACGTGAGTGACTTAATCCTATTTTCTACGCAGTTTTAATAAACTTTTATGCAGTGTGAAATACCTGATTTCTTCAATCACGTTTGTGACTCCCATGCTGCTTGATGAGAAGAGAGCCCCATATCACTTGATGCTCAACGAATTCATTGCCAACGGAGGATATTTGCGATTTTTTGAGTAAGTTCTTCAAACCAATCTATTAGGATTGCTAATAAATAAATAAAATTAGGACATTCCGCTGGGTGTTGTGTGCCGATGTGAGCATGGTGGATATTGTCAAAGAGAAATACGTGCTTTCAAATTTCCATCCTCCAAATATTCCATGGCTGCCAATCTGCTCAGAGTTTGTGGAAAGCTGGCTTGAGCTACTGGAGAAGTTGGTGAACCCGAAGTCTGTGCTTGAATCGCCTCATTCCTTGTCTGTAAAGGCAAACAGCCAACTGTCGCATCCGTTCGAGCCCTCCGAGTACATCACATATATGCAAAAGGTACTATTTAACCTTCTTCTTAAAGACTCTTGTTGATTTTATATTTATTTTAGCTTGCATTTGACTCCCTCATGCTTTTGTGGAACCTTGATCCGAGAAGTCAGATTCTGTCATCACCTAACGTCATTCCACTGATGTTGCACATCTGGCAACATGTGCTGAAATCTGAGGAGATTCTGGATGAGCTAAAGAAGGACAAAAATAAGGATGTGGCTCCAGCAGTCGGTGCAAGCTCAACAACAACTGCCACAAATTCTGCTGAAGTCGAGCCTGAGGTCAGTGCTGAGCACTTGAACCGTCTGATTGACATGGGATTTTCAAGAGCCATGTCCATCCAGGCTCTCAGAATTTCTCCTACTGTAGAGCAGGCTACTGAGTACTTGCTGAGTGCCCCGTCAATGGTAAATATTGTCGTTTAGATATTTCTTACGTGTTTTAAATTTTTAACTTATCTAGGGCATGGAAATTGATGTTTCCGAGGAAGACCAAATGCACCAAGCAATTGCTATGTCGCTAGGAGAGAACTCTGATAAGTCCGCAGGTGCTAAGACAATTGAAAAAATCCCAGCTGCAGAGCAGGTAAAATATTTTTGGGGGCTCTTTATGCTCATATATATAATGTTGATTTTACATATTTTTCATAGAAACCAGAGCCATTGACAAAAGAGGAAATTTACAAATTCACCATGGCTGCACCTGAGGTTTGCCTTAAAATGCTGGACACAATCAACAGCTCCGCTACATTGAAGGCGTGTGATCTCCTCGTGATGATTGCCAAGAGGAACGGCGAGGAGTTCAGGAAGCAAATGCTGAACACTATTCTAAGAGAAACCTCCGAGTGCATCAAGCTATTCCTGGAGCAAGTGAAAGATGTCACAGACTCTAAGAAATATCTCATCATCCAATCAGACTCTCGAGAGTCTGGTAGAACTGCTGACCTGTTGAAGTTCTTCTCATTGTTGTTTGAGGAAATGAAAATCCCTAGCTGTGTAGCCATGGAAGAGACAGGCATCATTGAGCAGCTGATTGCCTTAATGAGCCCTTGTTTGCCGCACATAACATTCGAGTCCACGCCGAAGTGGCTGGGCCCAATTTTCCAAATCCTAGATCAGTATGAGCGTGTGGCAATCAGCCTGGAGAGACAGGATGCCATGCACAAGGTAACGATAACTGAACTTTTTTATTCTAAATGGCAAACTAAAATTATATTGTTCCAGATTTGTGGACGCCAGTGGAAGTGGTATGACATCTCTACCAGCAAATGGTGTACTTACAGTGCCCCTTACAATAAAATCATCAACGACGCCTACTGGAGTGGAGAGCAATGTGTAAGAATCAACTATGGCAGGCGCAAGTACACACTGCAATTCAGCACCATGTACCAGGTAACCTTTGAACTTTTTCGTTTATTGGCAACATCGTTAATAACTCAATTTTTAGTGCAATGATGACACTGGCAACAGACGCCCAATCATGTTGTGCCTTATTGATAGCAAGAAAGACAAGGAACCTAAAACGGAAGCTGAAGAGAATGAGGCTTCTCCAAAGAAAATGGAAGTTGACTCGTCTCCACCAAAGCCGAGTGATGCAGAAGAGAATATGTCTGAGAAGTTGAAGGCTGACGAAAAGAAGATAAAGGGCATTGGAGAAATCTACTCCAAGGTTTTGATTAAGTATGTGTATTACATTAAAAGTGTCTAGTAATTTTTATAATACCGTATCTTTTTAGGGCTTGCATCAAACTCCTGTCAGTGCCTGTCTGCCCAGATGCCCTGCAGTCCATGATGAAAGTACTTGTTCGCATAACAAGAAATTACAAATGTGCACAGATTTTCTTTGAGAATGGTGGAATTTGGAAGCTGCTGATGCTCAAGAACCTTCACCATTTTTTGGGAGCCATCAATTTGATCACCATTGTCATCAGACACACAGTTGAGGAGCCAAAAGTGCTCAAGTTGGCTATGGAAAAGGTGCTCAGAGCCAAAACCCAGGCTAACATACCTCACTATTACAAAGAACTCTTCTACCTACTAAGAATCTGCGGAAATGCTGTGTGCAGAGCCCCAGAAACTTTCCTTCAGCTCTGCAAGGAAAGTCTGCGTGCAGACACCAACATTTCCCCTCGCAGAAGTAAGTTGTAATTTGATGTTAACATTGAACTTTTCTTAACATTTGCTCTAATTCTTTAGATGAAGAGGAAGACATGCCCATCATCTGCACAACTGGGCCAGTCAAACACAAGGCAATGTCTGAGAATAACGGCCTGTCTGCAGCAGTTGTGAATGAACTTCTTGACGCTTTACTGCAGCAAATGGCCCAAGCAAGTGACAGCTCTAAATCAAAAGACAAGAACAAAGAGAAAGAGGAGACTCCCTCCACTAGCACTAAACCAAACAAAAGGACATTTTCCGCTCCCCCGCCTCCACCCTCCTCGGTGAGGCATAGCATTCGGAGCAGAAATCTTACAGCTGTAGCACCAAGCCGAGTTCAAAACCAGCTGGGCGCCATTCTTGGCGAGTTCCACTTGCAGGATGCTGAGGAGAAGGCTATCACTGTAAGAAAAAGGCCAACATCCGAGGAAACCGGAAAGCCTCTGGTGCCATGCTCGGCACTCTTGAAAATCCTTGCGGAGCTCGTTCGCTCTTACAATCATGTTGGAAAAATCATCGCTGACTATCAGCATCCCAAAGAGGGTAGTGTCCCCCGTCAGGAGGGTAGTGCTCCTGTACCACGGCAAGAGGGAAGCACTCCAACCACAAATCCAGCTGCCACGGGTGTGCAGCAACAGTCGTTCAGCGCAGTGCACTACATCATTGAGCATTTGTTTGACGCCTGCGCTGACCTCGAGTGCCACAACATGGTGCGCATGCTGATCTCTGCTTTAGCTTCGTGCAGCTTCTCAAGTGATATCCAAACGCATGTTGTGATGGAGGTCAAAGCCGCACTTCACAGGGCCCTGAGCATGCCCGAGTCAAACTCCAAACACACAGAAGTCCAAGAGATCTGCAACCTGATTTCTGTCATGATTGACAGTTGTCCCTCGCCAGTACCTCCTTGCCCATACGCCATCCTGGGTTCAGTAGACAAGCCCCCTTGCAAGTAATGAATAATTAAAAATAATCTCTATCTCAAGTATTTATATGAAAATTTTATATTTCAGTGTGACTGCGAACAGCATTGTTCGAATCATGATAAGGAAGGGCATCCTCACCGACTTGTCTAGAATCCCGTACAGCTTGGACCTTTCAAGTCCAAATCTACAGGCTACTGTTAATGGTCTAATCAAACCTCTGGAAACTCTGACCAGAATAGTGATCCATCCGCCTGCCACTGTTAAGGACGGCAAGAAGAGCAAAGTTGCTGGACAAGATGCTGGTTCTCAAACCTCAAGTAAAATTGCTTTTCTCAGTTTATAAGATCGATTGCTTATTTTTCGTTTCAGGAAACTCTGCTTCAGGAACATCCAGACGCACTCAAAGCACATCCGAAAGCATGGGCTTAGAAGAGCTGATGGAGCATCTGATGGAGTCTGCCCGTGATGGCAGTGTCGTGCAAGACATCATGGAGTTTTCAGTGAGTGATGAGAGACCCAGGCACAACATGAACCGAGCACACAGCGATGTATGTTTCAAAAATTGTAAATAAGACCAATGTTATAACTCTCTTGTAGGATGTTCATTTGTATGATGAGATCCAAGCTGCTTTGAATGCACCAGAGAGTCCCTCGAGCCGTCAGTGGGAGGAATCGGACTCAAATTACGATGATGACGAAGACAACCACGACGAAGAACAGCGTGAAGAAGGTAACAACACAGAACAAGGTCAAGATTCTCCAGCTGGTTCTGCAGATGGTTCGGTGGAGGGTGGATCTCCAGAACCCCAAGAATCAAGTGGCAATGCTCCTAATCTTGCAGCTGCGGCTGCTGCTGTTGTAGCTGCAGCTGCTGCGGCTGCCTCTGCACTAGATAACCATGGCGGCAATCACGAGGACGAGGAGGAAGATGATGAAATGGACGAAGATGAGGAAGAGGAGGATGATATCGATGATGATGATGAAGAAGAAGAGGAAGAGGACGAAGAGTCTGAGGAAGAAGGTTCGAAAATTTGCTTATTTTGAATGATAGTTTTTACATTTTGTTTTCTTTTGCAACATCGACTGTTTTGTATAAATATTTATCTATTCAGGTACTCGGAGGATAACTTTTTCATTTATAGATGCTGTCACAAACAATGATCTTCCCGGTTTTCTCAATATTGGGGTCAACGCCCACCCTCCTCACCACCACCACCATGGTCAACAGCAGCAAAATCCTCTGGTTGCCTTTCGAGGCTCACTTGACAGTGATAATGTTGGTGGTTTGCAACGCCAGAACGCAACTCGGTCGCAACGGTCAAGCCTCCAGAGGCGCTATTTAGCCCACTTGCACTCCCGAGGGCCAGCCATACTGCAGAGGTGAGAAGTGAAATGTGACAGCCTGTTGAAAAATAAACATGAAGAATTCGAATTGTTAACAGACTTTTAGGACCAGAGCCTCTCAGCCTTGGTGAATCCAGGCATGGACCACTTCCTGTGATAGAGTCTCTGACCCTTCTAGATGAAGACGATGGAGAGGACACCGTATGAAAATAATATATAATCTAATACCATTTTTCTTATGAGTTTTTATTAGGGTGCTTACCTGTTTGGCACCAATTTGGCCAGTACTGCCAACAACATTCCAAATGCGCTTCATTGGTGGAATGAAGAGGGCAAATTGTTAGATGGCGACTCCATGCCAGCTTGTTCCATTGGTAAATACTTTGTGTTCTTGTAGGCTTTCATTATTTCAACTTGGAATTATAGTTTTAGCTTCCAAAATTGTCAAGCAATTGGAACAGCAAAGAGACAAAGATGTGACTGAAAAAAAGAAAAAGCTTGCTGAAGAAGCTTTGAAGATATCAAAATCGTCTGAAGCCGTCAAGGGTAATTTGTGTTTTGAATTTGTTTACCTGTATATTTAATGATGCAAACTTTAGATAAAATGGAGACTGAAACAACGCCATCCGAGACTCCTCCTCAGCAACCTGCTGCCCTACAAGCGTCAGCGCCAAGCAGTCAGTTGCAAGATCTGCAGTTAATTGCCTCGGAGGTGTCCAATATTGTAGACACAGTTTTCCGCACTGCTCAGACCCTCACCTCCACCGATACAGACCAGACAAACTCCACCACAAGCGAAATGCCGCCTTCTGAATCAGCTCCTGCAGAGCACGAGCAAACCCAGACTGAAAACACAGTTTCCTCACTAACACCTACTGATTCCTGTGATGTTGGTCAACGCGATGAGCTCTCGGCAGCAAGTCCAATGACTCCTGTGCCTGCTAGCCAGAACACAGAAAATGATTTTAGTGAAAATATGCACACAAGTCCACCACCTACTGATGTTGAAAAAAGTGAGGTTGAGCCTGCCAAGGATGACACAACTTCCAGCAACACTGACGACAATTCAGCAGTGTCGCCAATGGACCAACAAGAAAGTACTCCAGCTGCAGAGAAAGTTTTGGAGCTTGTGACTCCCCCAACGGAGAACAATGCTGAAGCTGTGGCTGTAGAGGAGAGAGCTTCAAACGAGGAATCAATGCAGGCCTCTAATTACGAGCCTTTGGATTATGACACCATCAACTCCTGGTTCGGTAGTGCCAGACCAACTGAAAACATTGGTGAGAGTGGCGCTGCTGCCACATCTGACCAAGCCACCGTTGGATCTGCTGAGGCAGCGCCTGGAACCACTTCAACTGGGGAGACTCCTGGAACAAGTTCAACGTCAGCAACCGCGTCCACTTCAAACGGAACTGAAGCTGAATTGCCAGAAGGTGTTGATCCCTCTTTCCTTGCTGCCCTGCCTGAGGAAATGAGACAAGAAGTTATTGCTGAACAACTAAGGTATTTGCTCATTTCAGTTCTTCACATACTTTTTTTTATAAATTTTTTAAGCCAAGTATTTATTGTCTCTGATTATTATTAAAAATTTAGACTCCAAAGATTGAGAAGAGCGAGAACCGCTCCGCAGGAAACTGCGGATGTTGAAACACCCCTCGAAGTGAATCCAGAATTCTTGGCTGCTCTTCCTCCTAACATTCAAGAAGAGGTGCTCACTCAGCAACGACTCGAAGAGCAAAGGCGTGCTGCTGCAGCTGCCAATCCAAATGACCCTGTAGACGCTGCTGCGTTCTTCCAAAATCTGCCTTCTTCCTTGAGACAAGCGGTAACTCAATGATCTCAAGTGATGATATTTATGATACTTATCGTTAAAAATTACAGATTTTGACAGACATGGAAGAATCGCAAATTTCTGTGCTGCCACCAGAGCTGGCTGCTGAGGCTCAGACTTTGCGACGAGATTGGGAGGCAAGAAATCGGCAAATTATGCAGGAACGTTTCTTGAACCACGTCAGCCAGAGCAACAACACCCTCTCCTCTATTCTCAGGAATTCTGGTTAGTTTTTTATTGTCTCCTGATTTTCTTTGAGTAACTCTTGTTTAAGTAGGAATTATTGAAGGACGAATGCCTAGTCGCTACATTTCGTCTGTACCGCCTAGAGCTTGGGGCCAATGGAGCCGCTCAACTCCTGGTAACACTGATAACCTCAGGACTGCTTGCTCGTATCTCACAAAGTAATATTAATTTTGTTTAAAAATGCAGCAGGAAAATAATACAATATTTTGTTATAGATGGAAAGGAAAACAGGTGTTGGACCAGGAGGCCATTACCTGTCTGCTGGTTCTTCTTTTCATAGAGGATCCAAAATTGAACATAACAAGACTGCAAAGGGTCCTGAGACATCTCTGTTGGCATGCTGAAACCAGAGATTGGGTCATTGGGGTAATGAAAACTTAAGAAAATGCAAATTTATGTAATTAAAAATTTTTCCTTCCAGTCTTTGATATCCATCTTAGAAATGTGCAATGATTGCTACGAGGCATCTCTTGCTGACTCGTCCCTGTTTGCCAAACCAAGGCAGAGCTCGTAAGTTTATTTTTCTTTTAAGATTTGCAACCTCTTACAAATTTTCTAGTATTAGCAAAACTCCTGCTTGGCTCAACATAACCATGGATGCAGCCTTGGGCTCAAGGACCAACGTCTTCAACATTCAAAGGCCGTCCTTGGGCAAGCGAAGTGCCAATGGTGAGAGGTCGCCCAACTGCAGCATTTCCATTCACCCTCAGGCTGCATCTTCAGTGGCAAACAGAGTGTTGGACACACTGATCTTCATTGGAGAGGCCTTCCCAGAATACTTCTTGCCCCACAGGTAAAATCACAATGCTTATCTTCAAATGCAACTCTAATCTAATGCTATCAATAGATTCAAGGATCACAACTCTCCGAAGTCTGAGGGTTCAGGGTCACAGGACGCAGCACCTGGAAAGCCGGACTTCTGGGAAACCCTGATAAAGCTAGACACGGTTAGTGCGCTGAAGAACAGCAAAAGCCTTCACAAGTGGCAGCACAGCACAGAGAATGAATCTCAGATTCCATTTATGGATACTTGCCATTTCCGTCGCTTTGTTCCGTTCCTGTCGTTCCCTCTGATTCTGCGCAGTCCGCAGTTGATTGACAGTACCATTTGCTTGCTGTACCAAGTCTCAACAGGCTTGGTGAACGAATGCGCTGTTCGTGTTAACATCATTCCTGGAGATGGACAGGTTCCTACAACAGAGTCTGAGGAGAGCCGTGCTTCATCTCCAACCAGACAGTTTGCTCAGTACTCGACAAGACTGAGAGCGTTGAAAGTTCCTCCCAAATACTCCGTCAACACCAAGGGCACACCAAAAGGCCACTATCCATACATTCCCACTTACATTAGGGAGGTGGATATTCCCGAAAGGCACCTGAAGCTCCTCATCGATGTGCTCATAGGCAAGACATGCTTGGAAAATGGCCTGAAGAACGCTAAAATTTTCTTGAACAACCTCTGCCGTGGCCCAGAAGCAACAAAAGACATGGTAGTTTATAATTCTTTGCAGGTGTTTTGAATAGTTATAAACTTATTCAATTTATTTCTAGGTCATCAAACTGTTGATGGATGGTGTCAAGCAAATTGGCTGCACAGTTGAAAACGACATTTCCATTTTGTTAGGCGAACTGAAGCAGCACTGCACCAGTCCGACCAAAAAGAGTGACAAAGGCGACGGTGATGATGAACTGCGCAATGACCGCATTCACAAAGGCAAACTGGCTGACAGGTTCACCAACTCTACTGTGATTGTCAATGCGCCAAGCAAAGTCTCGGCCACCACCAGCCACGACCTTCAGCTGCCTTCAATTGCCCTCCTCACCAGCAAAACCTCGAGCCAGTCATCCTTCCTGCGCCTACTCAAGGTCCTCATTGACCTGCGCAGCAAGTACAACAAGAAGGGATCAAAGCACTTACAAAATCATCCTGGCTGTAATTATTATTTGGTTGTTTATAGGTGAATAAGTATTAATTGGTATTTTACAGACGTTTTCGTCCCTGTGACGACTGAGGTTGTTTGCTCGAGTAGCGAGGAGGACACGGAAGACTACGAGCCTCAGGCTGAGAGAGAGGTAACATCAGTCAGTGCACCTCCAGCAACTGCATCTTCGACAAGTCAGACCAAGGAAGTAGATTTCAGCAAGCCAGAATACGGAACGCCACGAGAGGAGTCGCTTCCGCTCAGCCAAGAATTGGGACTGGATTCTCTTTGGGACGTCCTCAGCCAGTGTCTTACAGAACTCGAAAACAATCAGGATCAACATGCTGTATTGATACTGCAGGTAATTTTCAGAAATTAAATAGTATCAGGATAAAGAGTAATCAACATTTTTCTGCGTTATGTTTTAGCCTGCGGTTGAAGCATTCTTCTATGTGCACTCGTCGCTTGAGGATAGCAAAAATGCAGCGGCCACAACTGAACCTGCAGAAACACAAACAGTTGAGCAGCAAGACGCTGCAAATGAAACGACTGGCGAAGATACGGCAACTGCAGCAGAAACTGCAGAGCCTCAAGCCTCACAAGAAGTTGCCAATGCTGAATCTGCAGAGGCCAAGAGCGCCAGCGAGTCGGCCAATCTGTCACCAGACATGCGCAAGTTCCTCTCTTTTGCAGGTAATATTTTTATTATTGTATTATCTAAAACAAAATCCAATATCTTTATCATTATTTTTCCAGAAATGCACCGCACTGTGCTTAACCAAATTTTGCGCCAAACCAACACCCATCTGGCTGACGGTCCGTTCTCTGTCTTGGCACAACACACGCGCATACTTGACTTTGATGTCAAGCGGCGTTACTTCAGGACTGAACTCGACAGACTTGACGAAGGCATTAGAAGGGAGGAGCTGGCTGTGCACGTTAGGAGGAGCAACGTGTTTGAGGATTCATTCAGAGAGCTGCACAGGAGGTCATCTGAAGACTGGAAAAACAGATTTTACATTGTGTTTGAAGGTTGTTGTTGACATTTCTAAATCTTAGGAATGGTAAAATTAATCAATTATTTTGTCTTGTTATAGGTGAAGAAGGTCAGGATGCAGGTGGTCTGCTGAGAGAATGGTACGTCATCATCTCTCGAGAAATTTTCAACCCCATGTACGCCCTGTTCACCACCTCCCCTGGTGACCGTGTCACTTACATGATCAACTCGACCTCGCACTGCAACCCTAACCACTTGAGTTACTTCAAGTTTGTGGGAAGAGTCATTGGTTAGTATAAAAATTTAATTTGGGATTTCTAATAAATTCAAATTTATTTCAGCCAAAGCAATCTACGACAATAAACTGCTCGAGTGCTACTTTACACGCTCCTTCTACAAACATATCCTCAGCAAGCAAGTCAAGTACACAGACATGGAGAGTGAGGACTACAGCTTCTACAAGGGCCTGGAATACTTAATGGAGCACAACGTCAGTGATCTTGGCTACGACCTCACCTTCAGCACTGAAGTTCAGGAGTTTGGAGTGACCGAAGTCAGGGACTTGATTCCTAATGGCCGCAACGTGGCCGTCACTGAGGCAAACAAGATGGACTACATTAGCATGGTTTGCCAGATGAAAATGACTGGCGCAATTCAAAAACAGTAAATTTTTTTTAAATTCCTGTAAAAGGGTCATTAATTGTTACGTTTTTCTTCAGATTGAACGCTTTCTTGGAAGGATTCTATGACATCATCCCTAAGAAACTGATCTCAATCTTCAATGAGCAAGAAATGGAGTTGCTTATATCAGGCCTGCCTAATGTCGACATCGAAGACTTGAAGGCTAACACAGAGTACCACAAATACCAAAGCACATCCCTTCAGGTTCGAATTTGCAAGTTAACTTGTTCCAGCTTAATTTATTTATTTATTTTAGATTCAATGGTTCTGGAGAGCGCTGCGTTCATTCGATCAAGCGGACAGAGCCAAATTCCTGCAGTTTGTTACTGGAACATCAAAGGTGCCTCTGCAAGGCTTTGGTGCATTGGAAGGCATGAACGGAGTCCAGAAATTCCAGATCCACAGGGATGACCGATCAACTGATCGCCTCCCCTCAGCTCACACTTGGTATTATTGATAAAGGATTGATTTTGGTTTCACGTACTCAACTTTAATTTCCATTGCAGCTTCAACCAATTGGATTTGCCTGTTTACGAAACGTACGACAAGTTGAAGTCTTACCTTCTGAAAGCCATCCACGAATGCTCAGAAGGATTTGGATTTGCTTAGACTGATTGATATAAACGTAGTTGAAAGAAAGAAACCAAGAGAGATGAGAAAGAAAGGTGGTGACGCTGATTATGTCCATGCTTAGTAAAAACACACAGTTGATTATTTTTTAAAACGGTCAAAAGAAGATGATGATAACAATACTAATGTGAATGTTGCTTGTTATTTTGTAAATGTGGAGGGTGAGATTGGAGATTGATTGATTGCTTACAATAAACCCATGTAAAGAGCAGAATTTTAAACCCCCCAAACTTGTACACCATGCGTTTTTTCACTTGGAAGCGCCCATAGACATGCATGCTTCTGATGAAACATCTGGGATGTTTAATTAAGTTTCCATTTAGTACTATTCATAATTTTTCTCTTGTAACTGTGCCTAATGTCTTGGTTTTATTGAAAAATCGCATTCATTTCAAATTATGTTGCTACGGTCTTCTGCAATAAAAATAATGAAATCTTTACTGCGATTTTTTTCTTATTGTTTCCTAAGTAGGTTTAATTTTTTTTTATTTCCTCCAGACAGGTTCACAGAAAAATAAAAATAAGTAAAAACCTTGCAATGATATATATTAATTTGTAATGGAAAACACTTCTGGCAGAGACGGAACTTCCTATAGGACAGGTCAGACATGTCCGAGGGCCCACGGGGTCAAAGGGCCCACCGAAGCCACTGTTTTAGGCAACCCACAACGCGTACATGACAAGGCGCTGCCTACTTTGAAGGGGCGTCCGAGGGCCCCCGACTTTGAAGTTACGTCCCTGACTTCTGGTGTTGAATTTTATACAGCTAGGTTGTGGAGCTCTCCTTTCTGCATTTGTAGCAATAGAGCGGTTTGAAGCTTCAAAAGCTCTGAGGACTGAGGAGCATTGATTGAGCGTTTAAATTATTATTTTTTAATTCTCAAAGAACTATAAGAAATTTTTATTTCAACACAAAAATTTTGAAAATCATCAAACTTTTCTAATCTTGAAAATCTCGACCATTGAAAAAAGTCATTTGACGAGATTTTTGAATAATGGTAATATTTATGTATGCGGCATTCTCAAAGGTTATCTTCCTTCTTCCGTACAAGAGAAATTGGAATAATGCGCGCAAATTTAAATTTATACAAAAATTTACAAAAAAAGAAACTTCCAACAATAATTAAAATAAAATATAAGAAGAACAGGTGTGAATCAAAGCCAAAGAGAAGTTAAATTATTTAAACTTTATTGTTACAATAACGGCTGCACAGCAAAAAGATAACGTAATAAATTATTGGCTACAAACATGCTAGACAAATTTCGTTTGAAAAGTGAGATAATAATTAATTGCACTTATCAACACATTACTTCTTAATGAGGGACGATTTTGGAATGATAAATTATTAAAAAAATGTGAAAGAGCCACGACAAAACTCCTTGGCACTTCTTGAACAAACGCTGCCCCTCGATTTCAGCAAAACTACTGCCACTCAATGACGTCTTCCACAGAAAACTGATTTGCAATTTTAGACAAATCGCAATGTAAAATAGTTCACCAATTGGATTTACGGTATTGAGCAATCAACACATATTTTGATTGTTTGGGAACAGTCTTGACTCAATATAAAGAACCGGGGCTAACGAGACGCTCATCGAGTGGGTCAGTTTTGTCAATACGGCCAAAAGCTGTTTTGCATTATATTCCTTGTCCCTCTGCACTACTAGTGTGTTTGTGTATCACAAATTCGTTACAGTTCACTGTAATTTTTCAAAACATACGCAGTGACAGTCATCTTGTCTATAGGTCTATGCTGGCTGGGCACTTCTTTGGCGACCTCTTCAACTCTCCGCAAATGTTCTGAATATAACAAAGTAGGCGCGGCGAGGAGCTTTTGCAAGGAATTAGTGGTGTTATCTAGGTAGTCGGCAAGCGCCTTATCGGTCACTTGAAACACAGTTCCCAGGCGAAGGAAGTATTCGCTCAGAAGAAGGCGGAGCTCGGGACTTATGTCCTTGCACTGGATGTAACACAGCATGGGGTAGTGGACAGCAGCGTAGTCTTTGAACTGCAAAAATAAATTTTTTTTATTATAATATAATTATAGTAATGAAAATAAAAATAAACAATTGTATTTTAATAAGAAAGATTAAAAACCTCTGCGTCTGGGAGTTCACAAATGTTGACCATAATGAGCTTAAACAGTCTAGCCCATCTTTCGAGTTGATACGCATCTGTGAGATGTAAAAATTTCTGCAAGACCAACACAGATTGCTCTAGCAGGATTTCTTTCACTTCCTAAGATATTATAATTTTAATTAGTTGATAAATATAAACAAAAATTAGGTTACTTTATGAACATCTTGTCTGAGTGGATCCCGGAGAATGGCAAACATTATTTTCATGCATATCGACATTGTTCGGTACTCATGAGTAAAGGCAGAAATATTAGGCCCGCCCTCAAATCCAGCCATTCGCATGATTCTCGGCTTGGAATTTTCATTCAACGGCAGTAACTTTTCTTTAGTTTGCACAGTCCAGCTGGCAAGTGGCATCTGCGCAATGTCTACGTCTTGCACTAAAAATTTGAGTAAAATGGGATATATATATTTTTTTTTAAAATTAAATTTGCGACTCACCAGCCCTCCAAAGAGCACCTTGGACAGCAGTATTGCTGTCAAGATTTGAAACGATTTGGTTGCAATTGTATAGATGGCTGACGATGTTCAACAGGTGCTTAGAACTCATTTTGCTGTACATGCCAGGAATTTCAGTTGTCTTTACACTATCCGAATCACTCTGTAAAATAAAAATTATTTAACCTCCAATCTAGCTGAAGATGAACGTAACAAACCATTGAAGTTGCCTTTTCAGACTCGTCGGGGTGGAAGGGGAAGAAAATGAAATTTTCCACTGTGACCATCACTTCTTGGAACACCATGCTTTGTATAAGGAAAGCAGAAAACTTTTTAGGATCCGGATCGTACTTGAGGATTTCATCGAAGCTCTCTTGAGAGCGCACCGTATAAATTCCACCAAAGATTTCAACTTTTTTGTTGATGTGGTGACCAAGCAAAGGACATGAAAGGGTGAACAAACTGGCCAGGCAGGCGCAAGTCTTGTTCCAGATTTCTTCTGTGAAGCGGGATCCGTTGGATATGACCAGGTTTTCAAAGCAGTTGGTGCCTGATTTGGCCAGCTGCTCGTTATCTTGGTGCACACACCAAATCAGTTGGGTGTAGAGGTCTTCAAGAAGTAGAGGACCAAGGACGTCAAAGTATTGAGAAAAGACGTCCACGATGGCGTAAAGGGCGTGATTACATGTCGTCGTCATCCACTCCGCTTTCTGAAAAACGATGGGAAAAATAAGAATTTTGAAAACAAAAAATGTGTTTTTATCAACTTGCCTCTGTTTGTTGTTCAGGCAGCTTCATGTTGTCAAATATTCTGAAGAGAACTTGGAACAAATCGCGCCACCAGTTGGGTTTGAAGGTGTCGCCGTAAGTTTTGATGATTTCAAAGAGCACAGTGAGAGCTCTCGTCCTGACATCTAATTTGCATCTGAGAATATGAATCAATTAAATAATAAATTATTTCAACCAAGCAAACTATTTTACCTGTTTACTATGCAAGAAAGTTCAAATAAGAGTGGAAACCAGCCGCGCACCCATGGTCTATCTTCTTCGCAAACTTGCATGTCTTGCTCCATGTTGTGCTCCATGAAGAGCTGAAAAAATTTAGGCATTTCAATGATTCACTGCGTTCACAAAAATGCAGTTACCTGTGGCTTTTCCACAACATATTTGGCACATATTCTGAGAAGTCGAATGGCCTCCATGCTTGTGTCGGGGAAGGCAGCGTTGCAAGCAAATTCTGAAAGGCACTTGACTGCATCTTGGAATGAATCAATCATAACTGGAAACTGCTGCTCGTATAGATTGTCTGTAAAATTATTATTTTATTTTATGAACGTGAAGTATTAAAAATAATCTACTTATGATCTTTCCCGTTGTAACAAAGGCGAGCTCCACCAGGGGCTCGTCGGAGTCAGCAGCTGCCAGATGGAAAACACTAAAGATGTTTTTCCATCCGGACCGAATGTTGTGGGCCTGAGACTGGACCATTTGCGTGATGCATCGCACCACCATATCCTTGATTGTGGCGCTTCGGTTCTTCTTGGCAATCGTCTCAAAAGGCCGCAGGAAATCTTTTTGGAAGCGGAAGTTTGCGAATTCCCCCTTCTCGATAAACTTTGTGGCTAATTGCCTCAGCGAGTCAACTGCAAAAAAGGCAATGTCCTCGTTCGGGGAACAACCAACCCGGTCGAAGTGCTCGCCAATCACTTGCCAGATGCGTGACCACTGCAGCCTGATACGGCCCATGTTGTAGTACGAAATCTCCACAATTTTCTGGAGACTGAACATTCGAGGATTGGGTTTGCTCAGTTCCTCCAAGGACACTGGATAGTAAACGTAAAAAATTAATTACGAGCATTCGATTGACTCTGAATGAAAATTTACCTTGGCATAGAGCTTTGACAAAGTCAACAATCGCATCTCCATCTAGGCGCGTGGATCCAGTGAATATTCTGTCAACAGCAACTACTACAGACTGAGAACTTGTCTCGCCAATGCTCTCCTTGACGCTAGGGTCCAGTGAGTTGAGGTTCAACGAACTGTCGCCATAATTGTGAAAAGAGGAGGATGGCGAAAGAAAAGAGGAAAACGATTTGGAGGAGGAGAACACTTGTGGTCGGACACTGGTGCCCACAAGCTGGGCCAACTCGAGTTGGGAAATGCACTTGATGATATCCAACCATGAGCTGCCCAGATAGTTGCCGTCGGTGTGCGCTACGGTTATCAAAATTTTGATGGTATCGATGTTCTTTGACTTCATTTCGGTGATTGGAGAGTTGGCTGTAAGTAGGGTGAAGCGCGCCAGGGCTTGAACGTAAGCGTCCCTTTCCAGATTCATGTGGAAAATGCAGGCAATCCGGATGGCACACCTGATTCCATCCAAGCAGAGGGTGGCAACTTCAGGATCATCACAATCCTTTGAAAAAAAAATATTCAAATGAACAGTCGTTAAAAAGTGAAGAAATGAATTTAAAAAAAAACTTCATTGATAAATCATTTTTTTATAATTTGATTTCTCCTTGTAATTAAAAAAAATTAGATCTTAACCTGTAATCCAACACTAAAGGCTGCCAAGAACGGCGTCCACGCCATCTTAAACATTGGTCGGACGTGTTCTAGGTGTTGTGCGGACGTGAACGGCGCTTGCACATGACTCACTGACTGCATCAGGTTTTTAGCAGCACTGCTAATCGCCTCCATTTCCATGTTGAAAAGAAAACGCCGCTTCTTTTCATTCTGGATCACTTGCTTGCCAGGTTTGTTGGAGCTTGTAACCTTCATTTTGATTTCGTGGCCAGCAATTTCGTCGTAAATCTGTGACAAATATTCAGCAGGAATGTCTTTGCTGTCGTTGATTCCTCGGTTCATTTTTATATACTGCTCCTTGCTCATTTTATGCTTCACCTACAGAAATGAGAGTGATAAGAACATAATATTTAAATTTCTTGTATGTTGAATATTTTTTATATAATTCTTGTTGAAAACTATTATAAGTAAAATTTTTAAATTTTGACTCACTTGAGGGCTGTGGAGGTCAGTCGTAAGCATGATGATAGAATAGGCCAAGACATAGGCAGTGTCAGCGCTGGCAAAAATACCATCACTTGGGTTGCATTCCCAATATCGGGCTGCAAATTTTTCCATCAGCCTGTCAATTTTCTGCGCCTCCCCAGGGAGTCTGAAACCATCGAGGAAGCTTCTAAGTGCAGAAACGATGTCCCGCCCGTGGAAGTCCATCAGGTCAACGTATGCACACATCACCTAGCATAAATAAATTAAAATATTATAAATTCCTCTAAAATTCTTCCAAGTAAACCTCTTTGCAGTAGTCCGAGTTTTCTCCTAAAAAGTCGCCGACGGTGTTTCTATCCAACCTTTCCTCATTGTGCAGAAATTCGGCAACACTGTTTGCTTCCCTGTTGAGCAGTTTATTTTGCTCGAGAAAGCGAAGGCCTGAAAGTGGCTTGGCATTGAACATCTCGATACCCTGCTCCCACACCTCCTTCTGCGCCTTCTTCTCTTCAAACTGCTGCGGGTTATCCGAGGAAGGCGTCAGGTGGTTGGCGGCAACGTGATTTTCTTTCGCAGTCGATGAGGGCTTCTCGTCCTGGCCCAGATTAGTCTGAGAGATGGGATTGACGTAGAGGTCTCTGCTCCACTCCACCATGCACTTGAGAATGCTGACAAGACACTCAAGACCACGGATCCGCATGCTTTTCTCCTGGTTCGGCGTTGCTCCAAGTTCCAAGGCTTGTCTGCCCTGGGCAATCTTCGAAAGGTCATTCACCAGGCGCTCGAAAATATTTGCAGCCGCCAGGTCACAGTCGTAGTTGACATAAATGTCCACCACACTCTGGGCATCAGCACAAATTCTTGTCAGCGCCTGATTATAATTATTAATAAAAATTAGTCGTTTTTCACATTTTTTTTTATTATTTTTTTTTTTAATTATTTTTAATTACCTGCATTACCATCCACTTATGCTCAAATGAAGAACTGGAAGTCTCCAAGATATTGAGGAAAATCTCCCTGAAAAACACCTCAATTTGCATTTTCAGGTGTTGCTTGAATTTAGAGAGAAGCGCCAAGAAGATCGCCAGTGACAATTCAAACACTTCTGGTACTGAGGAGACACCATTTTTGGACAGGGCGACGCACAAATACTGCTTGATGGCCGTGATGAACATAGGACTTGATTTAAATGTTGGTCCAGCGTTTTGCAGAACTGCAAGCAGCAACTGCAGGGATAGCACCTTGGAACGGAGCTCGTGACTTTTTGGATCTGGTATGCCGTCGGGGAGTGGTTTCATGGACAGTTTGCAGAGTGCCCTGAACACCAAAAAGGCGTCTTTTTGGGTCACGTGGGTGAACCTGGCTGGAGCATCGGTCTCGGTGACATCCATGCTCTCCTAAATAGAAATTGTTGTTATTTATTTCATATCTTTAAAAGATAATTTCGATTTTTAGTATAATTGAAATTCAACCAAAATTGAAAATTAAAATAATTTTATCCTAGAAATTTAAAAAGTAAAAAAAATTGTTTGTGGAAACGGAACAGTCAGAATAGTGAGCAACCTGTGACGGAACACGTGGAAGTGTTGGCGCGGGAGTTGTTCGACCACTGACACTTGTGTTGACTGCAGAGCCTGTGGAAGGCTGACTGCTGATGCTGTCACTTCCTGCTCTTCCATTTTCAACTATTTCAGAGCAATCGTCCGATTTCAAAGCAACACCTAAATTTTTCTTGGTAAAAAAGAGCCAGTTCAAAAACTTTTATCAACTACCTTGCAATGCTTGCTCCATAAGCTGGTCGACAAACAAGGTGGCAACTTTTTTAACTTCATCCTCCTCTGAGAGACTTTCCTCCCCGGGCACAATTCTCTCGTCAGGGATTGAATCATCCGCCACGTTTTCTTCTGATAAGCTCATTTCGGCGTGCACTTCAGCCTCTGTTTGTATTTCACCATTTGGAATGGACGGTGTTTGCGAAGAGTCAACACCACTTTCGCTGTCTGCTGTGTCAATTCTCTCCTGCAATTACCATGTTTTGCTTATAATTTTGTAAACATATAAAAATGTAAATTATACAGAATATTAAAATATAAAGACGAGACAAAAATTTAATTTAAACTTACAGCACATGCTTCCATTCGAGCAAAAATTACATTCAGCATCTGCGTTAGTGTTGCCCTTGCAGTTGTCTGGTTAATTAAATTTTTGCTGGCCAGGTAGATATTGTAACACGTCCGGACGGCCAAGAGGATTGATGCTTCGTGGATCTGCACATGCTGACTGGTCACCACAGTAAGTAGAGCCTTTAAATTAGAACAAATGGTAAGAAAAAATATAAGGTAACAATTCTGTAACCATACCTTGATGATTTGAAGTTGAACACCCTCATCAGTATTGGGACCTGTGAAGCAACCACAAACCGTTTCCACAATCCGGTTAATTAGGAATTTGTCCGGGCTGGTTGAATCAACAATATTCCCAGTCAAGTGGCCATAAGCGATTAATTTCTAAAAACAGAAATATGAGACATAGAAATTAAGGGTTAGTTTAATTTCAACTTGTAAGCAGTCTAGGGCGGTGACGACGATTCTGGTCCCCTTGCTCTGGCACGCCAGCTCAAAGGGAAGAAAGTATTTCTCTGCGCTAACGATATTCGCAGCATCGTTCTTTGGCAGTGGAAGAGCCGAAGAGGACGAATCCGTGTCCACATCTTTTAACTCCTTGCGAATGTCCTCTGCAAAAAGACGGAGGTCAGGAATTTGGAGATAATTTTTGGTTTAATTGAACGGTCGAAACCTCTTACCGAGTGCCACCTCACAGGCCCTTTTCAGCTGGGAGTGGTGTGATCGTTTGATGTCCTTGTCGCTAAGGATTTTCTCGAGAGCACGTACGATGAACATTTCCCTTGTCTTTTCAGTATTTTGCATCTTTCGCGATCAACATAGTTCACCCGCGGCAGTCCTAACGCAGATAAAAATCTAGATTATCACTGCCGAAAAGAGACTCATCGCAAGAGAGCGATCATCGACGACGACAGATGTTTAGCAATACGCCGTGGCACGCCCCCTTCCAACCTCACCTGTCTCGATCGTGACGTCATTGCGACTGGAAAATAAATAACAGCACAAAACTTCCAGACTCTCTGAAGAATAAAAAAAAATTGAAAACATGGGTCGTTGTGGAAGACTTGTGATTAGGATTTGGAAGAACTAACGGTGATTAAAACTTTTAAACATTTACATCTGATCTGAAAAATTTTGTGAATATTTAGACAACAGAATTTAAATCATACTGTCGGCTTCTGCAGACAAAAGTTTGACACGTAAACACACAGAAATTAATTATTTTTGTCACCTCTGTACAATTTTTTGACCTAATTTGCAGTTGACAGTCAAGATGAACGTGTTCAACATCAAGGACTCGTACATAACTCCCATTATCCTGAGCTATGTGGACAAATACATCAGGGACATCCGACTTGAAGACACTCAGGTGTCTCTCTGGAGCGGAGAAGCAGTTTTTCACAACCTTAACCTACGGCTGGACGTCCTGGAACAAGAACTCGCTTCACCTTTTACCTTCGTTAGTGGCCAAATTCACGAGCTGGCCATCAGTGTCCCGTGGACGAAGCTGCAGTCTGAGCCCATAAAAATTACCATAAATACCATAGGTTTGGAAATTTCAAAATTTATCTTAATTTTATCACATCTGACATTTAATATTTGCAGAATGTGTTCTTAAGCTGAAAAACTATGGCACGGATAATCTGGAAACTTCGACAGTGTCAAGCACTGGATCGAGGGAAGCTCGAAACAAAGCCAAAAAGTATGTGATTTTTAAAATTTTTCTTAAAAATGTATTATTTTTTATTTATACTCAGGCAAGAGATGGAGGCAGCCCCTGGGTATGTACAAAGTCTTGTCAACAAAATTGTCAGCAACATTACCATTGAGTGCAATAACGTGATTCTGAAATACTTGGAAGAGGACATGGTGCTATCTCTCAACGTCCGATCCCTGCTCTTGCAGTCGGCAAATGAATCGTGGCAACCCACTTTTGCAGGTTACCTTCTTACACACATTATAATTATTTTAGTCTCAAGTCTCTTGGATATTTCAACAGAAATGACTCCAGCTCAACTCATTTTGCGAAAACTTGTCACTTTACATGACTTGACGGTTTGCCTGGACAGACGGAATTCCCTGGGCAAAATTGAATTTTACGAGGTTTGAAATGTAAGAATCTTTGATGTTCAAATTATTATATTTTGATATTTTAGGAGCCATTGCTGTATCGATGTTCCCTTGAAATAAGAATGAGTAGAACTTACACAAATATGGCAGCCAGCCAGGCCAAAGAAATGAAAATTGACATCAAATGTAACCGAATGGACTTTTCCATCTCAGACCAACAAATGCCAATGCTTCTTCGGATTCTTAGGCTAAACCTTGCTTGGTATTTGGGCGAGTTGAAGGAGCTGATAAGTAAGATTTTTAATTTTTTTAATTTTTTGCAAAACAAAAACGGTCCTGTTGCATGAAAACAATCGAAGCAATTTTTTGTCAAGCGTTGTTATTATACGTAATACATAATAAGTTCGTTCCTATTCGCAAAAATTTTCGCCCTTCTGACTCAATAAACGGCGACCCGGATCAAACAGCCCGGGTCGGCGCCGCAGTCCCGAAACTGCCGTTTTTAGCACCTTTTTTCCCGCACCCTCTCCGCGCCTAACCTAACTAGATTGGCGCGCCGTTCGGTTTGACCGCGTCGGCGGGTCCGCTGCAAAATTGCGCGTCGACTTTAATCGCCAGATTTTCCGATTTTGCCACGGCTCGCTTGCAGTCGGCAGCCGAAAACGCCACCCGAGGTCGACCGGGCAAACAAGCGTACCGGCCGAAATGATTAAACACTTTTTATCATTTTTATTTCAAAATCGTTGTAAAAATTTTACGTTGAATGATATAAAATTGTTGGAAGGGAAACATTGCATTATTCGACCAATAAAAGAAACAAAACCTTCCGTGCTCCCTGACCTCTTTCTCAGGTCAGGGGATCGCCAAATAGCAAAAGACTTGGGCATTTTTGGCTTCCTCTTGAAACGAGATTTCCACCTGTGTGCCGTTTTTCCCTTCGAACAATCAGTTAAGTTCTTTTCAATCCTGGAAGTAACGACTAAGTTTTTTTTTTCAAACGAAAATTTCTCATATCTCCCGGAAACTTAAATTTACACGCATTTAAATGCACACCGTTGGAAAGCTCTTCTTCTAGATTCAGAATCCTGAAGCTCGCACCATTCCTTTCAGAGATTTGCTCGATCTCTTTCTGGCCAACATTCACTCCTCCTCCAGCCCTTTTCGACGAGTAAATTTTGATTGTTGATTTCAATTTAGTTACTCTGACCATATGCATCACGTCAGGCAAGAAAATATAATGGATAAAACTTTTGATAAATAATATTTCATGAGTCGCTAAATTATTTTAGTGTCATAATTTAAATTTGCACGGACACCTGAGGTATCCATTCACAGAGCTCAAGCAACAATCAAAATATTTCTCATTGTTGTGATGCGCGACTTAGTCGCCCAATCACGCAGTTTAAATACCACTTTTGAGTTTCAGTGTTTGGAGCAGCGGCCACCCCAGTGGGTTAAGAACTGGTACGGTAGTCCTGGGTGGGCAGTACTGCACTAGTCCACGAGACTCTACCGAGCGGAGTTCGAAACCGGACTGGGGTGGCCTTTTTCAAATCTTTTGTTGGGTCCAATTCTATTCTAAATCACGTTTCTTATTAAAAACTATTGTATATTTCAATAAAAAAATTAAATATATAAATAAATAAAAAATTTTTAACATTTTTTAGACACGCTTTTGGAGGACTCGTTCTTCAAAGGAACGTCTCCTCAAGCATGTTATTATTTAAAACACTTTTTATCATTTTTATTCAAAATCGTTGCAAAAATTTTACGTTGAATGATATACAATTGTTGGGAGGGAAACATTGCATTATTCGACCAATAAAAGAAACAAAACCTTCCGTGCTCCCTTCCTTGTTAGGTACAACTTAAACTTGCCATTATTGTTGTTGTTCATTTAAACAGCAATCAAATTATGTTTCATAATTGTGATGCGCAAACCTTAGAAGATAGTTTTTATGAAAGGGTTTTTTTTTATTACTTAATTCTATTTTAAAATTTCGGATAAATAATTAAGTTATAAAATTCAAAATATTAAGATTAGGTTATTTAATTATTTTTTGTTTTTTGCAGAAGAGAGTGAGCAAAGCGCTACCACAGATGAAAACAATGACGAGCTGGTTTTGGCCGAAGAAGGAGGCGAGTCATGGATGGGTTGGGCTTGGAGTTTGGTGCCCTCCTTGACGCTGGTGGACGAAGAGTACCCGCCTGAGCCCGAGGACACCGACCACGTACTGATGTTGGGCTTCTACATTGACAGCATGTCCGTCGTATTCAAACTAGCCGCTAGCTCATTGGAGCGCTGCTACTACGGCACAAAGAAGGTCAAGTTTACCCCTCTGGTTGGCATGGAGCTGCAGGGGTGTTTCATGGAAGGCGCTGTGGTTGGTCTCAAGGCGGTCAATGTGACCACTGGTGCCAGTCATATGGTCTTAAAGCCCATGGGCGAAGCCTGTTCGTGTGGGGTCGAAGACCTCCAGAGTGTCTTTCTGGCAATGGGTAGCCCTTGCGATAACTACGTCACAAATTCCATGTTTAGTCGCAGTGAGAAGGAGGAGAGGGAACTTGCTTCTTGGGAAGAGCACCTGACCAATGTCACCGAGGGTGCTCTCCTTTTCCGAACTCCAGCTTTTGCCATGGACTACAGATACTTGCTCGACTTGTCAGATGGAGTCAGCAACGACTTCGTGCAACAGTTTGAAGGAAACTTGGAACACAGCAACCTTCCAGAAAGGGCTTTGTGCAGGTAAATGGGTTTAAATAATTTTATGGAAGAAAAATGTTAATTATGAAGTAAATAGTTAAATATTTTTTCCAATACCTATTATTTTTAATTAAAGTATAATACAGCTGAAATGATGATTCACACATTTATAAGATTAAAATTTGTATAATATTTTTTTGTATAAATTTCCAGAATTGTTGTTGGTCCAATGCAGCTGAATGTGACATCTGGTCTGATCCACCGAGTTCAGGAAATTATGAAGGCTGCCGGCAACTACAACTACCCACCTTATGTTGATCCTCCACCAGATCCCATCCTCTCTGGACTGGCTCCCCCATCAGAAACTGATGCATTTGCCTTGGAACAGTACATCCCAATCAGGGCCTACCAGCTTACAATGTTCAAGCCGGTTGTAAACATCAGCTACCTGGATCACCCTGAGAAATCGCGAAGAAGGAGGACCGAGTTCCAGGGCGAGCCACCGTACCTGAGTTTTGAATGCCAATGTCTGGACGCAACTCATGTCAAACCCATGTACCCTATCAGGGTGGTGACCACGACCTGCCAGATTGCAGCTCCCTCAGAGAATTTGTTCACCAATTGCCACCGTCACTCCAACATCAAGCTACTGAGTGTGTCGTGTAACCTTGTCACAAGCAACAACATTTCCAACTTGCTTCTGCCCTGTCACTTGACCCTCAGTCACAAATACTTGCTTTATCCTCACCTCTGGCCCAGGGACGATTTATCTTACTCGGACTGGAGTTTTGATTCTGATCATATAATTCTCATTGCTTCGAAGCAGCATTACCTGACTGCGCAGGAGATTCTGATGTTTGGTGATGGCCCTGTCGAGTCTGAGGACATTTCACTGCCGTATTTAGAGGTCATTCTTCGTGGTCTTTCTCTGCATAGAGTTCAGTCAGCTCAAGCAAATACAGACCGACTGCAGATCAAGTCGTGTCAGATTTCTACACCCAATATCCAGATTTTTGCACACAAAGAAGAGCCTTTGATAACGGCAACCTTGCAACATTCTCACACTGGCATTCTTCCTAATGTTGTTGTGCTCAATGTTGGCAAATTTGTTGCAAATTTGGACCAAGACCTTCTCAACTGGATCACGTTCAAGCATCCACCAGGACTGAGAAATGATAAACGGCTGAAAAAGAAGTCTGTCAAGTCGGGCAGCGTTGGTTCCAAAACCACAACTCAACGGCAAGAATCTTTTTACAGTTCAGAATTATTGTCATCAAAGTCTTCCTCTGCCGTTTCTGTGACCATGAAAAACAAGTGGGTGTAAAATATAACTGCTGATTTTATTTTTCAGAAATTTGAGTTTTAACTAATGAAATAATGTATGTTGCAGGTTTCTTAAATTTTACAAAGACTGGAACTGCGCTTTCATTTCATTGGACGTGTCGCCAGCACTTCTCCACATTCCAGTCAAGAAAGACCAGTTGATCTTAACTCTTCCCAGCATCTCTTTCAAGAGTGCAAACCAGCGCCAAGGCATCCATATTCTTCTCTCCAAGCTTCCGATTATTTTTCCATCCACCGTCTGGCGCAGTGACAAAGACACATTTCCCTGGAGCTTGATTGTTTCTAGTCTAAGCTGTGATACAGTTTGCAACACCATACAAAAGCCACTCATCCACTCTGTGTCTGCAAACTGCACCATTGGAGTGTCCAAACCAGAAAACTCCATCGGACTTTGCATCCACATTGACACTCCCTTGCTGCAAATTGATCTCTCCCCAGAACAAGTGGGTGTGTTGATGAAGGTGCTTCAGTTGATGGGGCGCATTTTCAAAAGCAGGGATGAGCAGGTTGGTGTCAAGGTTGAGCTCCAACCTCCTCAACCACTCCAAACTCCGCCTGCAACAATCACAGCACCTTCCATTCACCAACAACCTATGAGCGTCGGCTCCATCAGTGAGCCTTCCACTTACAACATGGATGGTAAAATGGATAAGGACGGTAGCGTCAAAGTCACCGCTTGGGTGCAGTGGACCTTGGCGAGGATTCTGCTTAATGTTTATTCGGCCGATGGCAAGTTCAAGATTGCCTGTGATATGGAAGACATGATGACCTCTTTGGATCTGCAGCACATTTACCTGAAAATCAAGTCCAGAATCACCTCTGCCAGCATCCAGCATTACCAGAAAGACCCAGAGGAGTGGAGAGCAGGTGAGCACCTTGGTCTGATTGTTCGATGCAATGACGACACCCTGAGCTCCTCTAAAATGGACAAAGCTCAAGCATCTAAAGGTCTTATTGAAGTCACCTTCACCAGGGCTCAGAGCAGCAACGTACATCGTAAATGGACGCAGCAAGTGGCCAGATCCACACCAGACGCTGCACCTCCCTGTCCATCTGGCCCTCGCTATATTAGTGAAGTTGACATCAAGCTTTGCCCTCTGGACGTGATCCTGTCCGCGTCAGTCTTCCAGAACTTTATTTCCCTTGTGGAGCCAGTGATCAAAAGTCCTTCAGGCGCATTGTCGCTTTCTAGCCCTCAGCCTATTGGCTACAAGATAAACAACAACACCCTCCCTTTGGTTTACTTTGACATCAAGGACCTTCGCCTTTTCCTTCCGAGCAAAATGAGCAGTCCTCACGACTTCTGCATTGTCCAGCTAAGCTCCATCCACCTTGTTCCGCACGTTGAAAATCCGCTGTCTCGAGTCTACATTCGACCCGACATTTACCAAATGGCGCAACAGGCAAACATTTTGTCAGTACCTGGATCACAGGTGGAAGACCGCCAGTACCAGCTGGACATCAAAAGTCTCTCTGTGGAAACAGGAATGTGGACCGACTTTGAACGGTTCATTCAGGTTGAGACAATATCAGAACCACTGAGCGAAAACCCAGCTGCCGAGTGGAACAAAGAGAGCTTTCGCAATTCGGAGCTCTCACTTCTTCCTCTAGTTCAAAAGTTTGACGTCAGTTTTATGGCGGCTCCGGCCGTAGTGTATCAAGAGTTGAAGGTCGGTGAGGTTCAACGTGACCTTTTGGTCTGCGGGCACTCAGCGGAAATCAACGCCACTTCCGACATCAACCTTAACATCAGTACAAATCAAATTAGTCTGATCACCAATCTAGGTTTCGAGTGGCTGACCTTGGTAGGTGCAATGACAGGCATGCTTACCAGGTACTCTGAATCACCTGACCCTGGCAAGATTTTGGTGCCGTCGGACAGTGGCATCGAAGACCAATCCAGTGTTTGCTCGCCGCCTATTAGAAAAATAAGCAAAGAGAAAAATCCTGACTTGGTTCCCCTGGAGCTTCTGGTCACTGCCAAAAGCATAAAACTGGTGCTCTACAAAAATCAAGTTGAAGAAAAGGTAGAGCCTTTGCTGCACATGCTCTTTTCCCAACCGCACCTTGTTCTTGCTCTGCACAGTCTCAAGCAGAGAATCGAGATTTCCTGCTTCGACTTGGCGCTGCGAACGAGCAATTCAATTTCTCAGCAGAATCAACCGCCCGGTCTTGAGAACTTTGGCATTCCTCTTTTGCAGACCAAGGGTGGCGATCCGCATCCCAAAACTGGCGTCCCTCCCTCTGTGCTCACTCTAACCTGGAATAACTTTCTGGCCAGCACCGGAGGAAAATTAAAAATTGACATCGGCAGGCCCATTCACGTACAAATTGGACAGCACGCGTGGCAGCTGTACCAGAAACTTAGTAAACTTCTGCCTCAGAGTACCAAAGAGACGCGTAACACACTCCCCAGAAGAGTTCCTATTGACTTTTTGCAACACAAAATCGACCTGTCTACCTCACAATTGGTGCTAACTTTGAAACTAGGCAACCACAAGGAACTAATCGCCAGCCTGGCAAGTATTTCGGGTGAGGTGCAGCCTAAAATTTCGCTCCTGAGAGGAACGGGCTCTGTCAAAGCGCACCTGGACGTTTCAACATTTTTAATCAAGGCAGCGAATGGCAACCGGCAAAACACTCTTGTCAACCCGTGGAGTTTAGCGTGTGACGCCCTTTTGACCTGGGATTCCTGGTTTATCAACCTCAACACTCCACGGTCGCAGCTCTTCTTCGACTGCGATTGCTTGATTGTGGACATTGGCCAGGACCAGCTGGAGTGCCTGCGTAGCCTGACCAAAATCTGCGAGCAGCTGAAAGAGGCGCCTCCACCCGTTGAGGCTACTCAACACAGAGTTTTTGAGGAAACTGTCGTTGAGGAGCACTACAGTGACGACATTCGAGCTGGAGCCTTTCAGTTTTTGGACGCAAAGGGCTCGGAAGTGCCTCAGCCGTACCAAATTCTTTTTGCAACTAAGCCTGCTTCCATGACTTGGCGCTATCCGCATCCAAGAGCGCTTACCAAAGTTCACATCTATCCTGTACCTTTTGAGGACGACATTGAAGAGGTGAGCGAAAAATTGGTGAAAAATTTAGTTTATTTAATAAATAAATTAAATTTTCTTTTTGCTAAGCATTTAAAAATTTCAATTTTTCCAGATTCCGTGTCAGCTTCAGTTTTTGAGTGACAGCGAAGATTGCTTCAAAACACTCCTGTTCTTCCGCCTGTCCAGTTCACACTTCCATAAACTAGACCTGCCGTTCCCCAAAGACAAACAGCACTCGACTGCAGCGTCCGTATGGCGGGTTCTGCTCGAGCCATCTTCTCCATGCCTTTCTCCACGCGCTTTTGCAGCCTGTCTGAAAGTAGACTCTTACTTTAACCCTGCCATCGTTCCGCAGTCGCAATGTCTGATCAAACTCTCCACTTTACGGCTAAATTTAGTCACTCAAAACTCAAAATTCGAGCTTTCGCAGCCGTATTCTCAATTCGTAGCAGACGGAACCACCCCTGATCAACTCCCTTTGGCCACATTTGTCCTCAATGATAGCTCCGTCAGTTTGATGCAATGGCCTAAGGACATCAAAGTCGAGTTTGAGACCAGAGCTCACTTTGAAGTTGTAGACCTGGCCACCCTGACTTCTATGTACGTTATTGACCCGTTTGTGGCTGAAGGTCGAATATTCAAAACGTCTAAAGAGGAACATTCGCTCACCGAAGTTTCTCTTCTATTTCACCCTATTTTGGTGAAATTTGGACCTGCTGCTGGACACACTCTAATGACTGCAGCCCAATTGTGGAAGGATTCTAACAAAGTTACTCGAATAATTCCTGCTAGAATTTTGGTGTGCAACGACGCTGCTAGGATCATTATTTTCAAACAGGTACTTTATTTATTTATTTGTCCTCCATTCGATATAGCTGACAATTTATTATTTAAATAATTTTGACATCCATATTTTAACAATATTCATCCTAGGCTGACACTTCAGAGGAAATAATACTTGGCAGCCGTCAGTGCAACTTTTACGCTTGGAAGTCTGCCGCCAAGAAACACCAGTTGCAGACAAAAATGGCTTTGAGCCAAGATGCCTGGAGTGCCTCGTCAACAGTGGACAACAAGGAACGGGTCGAGTTCATCAGAGATACCAAACTTGTAATGAGAACAGTGCCGCTCTCTGCTACTCAAACTGCCGTCATTTACATGGGTCAGTTGATGCTCAGCAACACACTGAGAGAAAATTTAGAAGTGCAAGTCAAAGGCGCAACTGAGAGCAACGGTGAAATTTTCACTCTCAACAGCAACTCGACTTGTGCCTCCGTCGTGATTGAGGTTCGCATAAAAATTTTGCTTTTCTAAGTTCTACCAGTAAATATCAATTTTTTAAATTTTTTGTGTTGTTTCAGGAGGAGAAGGAAATTGTCTTGAAAGTACGATTCCAATCACTGGCTAGCACATGGTCTGGTGACATCCCCCTCAGGGTGAATAAAAATACAAGCATGCCCTGGTTGGCCAAAGTGCCTCTGCAGGACAAAGGGCAGTTCCTCAGTATCTGGTGTCGCATATTTGTGCAGCAGTGTGATGGGTACAAAAGGTACCTGGCAGTATTTTCTCCTTTGTACAGTGTCAGGTCTTTGCTGCCAACGCCTATCCTTCTGAGCATCAACACACCTGGCCTGCAAGTGGAGATGTCTATGAAAATCGAGGGCCGCGGAAGCTTGCATGAGCTTTATTGTCCAGGGACCGTGGAGCACAGCCACAAAGCAACGATTCTACCGTTGAGCTCCACCGTTGATGAGGCAACGGCTGTTCCCCTTTCATACGGGATGACGCAAATTCCAGCAGATGTTCCTCTTGAGGGTGAAGAAGTGGACATTGACAAGATTTGCTCAAACGTTAGGAAATTTTTATATGATTTCAATTTGTTTTCAACATTTTTTTTCTTTCAGATTCACAAATTGTCTGAACGCCGCTGGCCGTTTGTGTCAGAGGACATTGATTTCATTGAGTGCACGCAACCACCGGCCAAAGTCAAAGTCAGCTACGAGTTGGAGGCTCCTCATTACACAACGTTGGTATTGCAGCTGCGTCCGTGGGCATTGTTTGTCAATTGCCTACCTTTGGACACACTTGGAGTTGTTTGCCAGGATTGGAATAATTCTTGCGTTCTTCCGCCAGGGAGTGTAATTGTACCCCCAATGATTGAGGTGATTTAACAACTTAATGTTTAAAGAAAAATATCAAATAATTATTTTCTCAGGGAACATTTCAAATCTGCAATGAGCTATCAGCGACTCCCGCTCTGCAGCTAGCCAATGAGGAGTGGAACTCGAATTTCTACATGCCCAGAATATCTGGAGTGGTTCCTCGAGAGGGCAGCATTAATACCACAATCAATCTAGCAGACAATAAGGTATACATGTTTTTTTTTTCTAATTTTGTAAATTTCTATTCTGGAGCCTAATTTTTACAGATGTTTTTATTAACTCTCACTTCTGAGGTTATCAAAGAGGAAAATAATCTGAGGGCTCTTAGCATTCACCCTACGGTGCTCATCAGCAGCTCCAGTGAAGTCGTTGAAAAATCTATCAAACTGAAAGTGATGCCAGTCGTCCTCCCTTCCAAAGCAAAATCACTGAAACTTCCCTCTACTAAATCCTCTCTCCTAATCGATGCTTCCGCCACAAAACCAACTGCAATCACTCAATGGCACCAACTAGCAACGGCTCTTCCGTCCAGCGACCTTCTTTACTACATTCTGATTGCAGACAGCAGGTAATTTATATTTTAAACAAAAAAAATGTAAAATTTCTAACTTTCTTACCAGTCAAACAAGCGGCTGGACGTGTCCACTTGCTATTCCGATGCCAGGGGCAATAGAGGGTTGTGCCAGTCGTCACAGTTTTTCCATAGGCACTCATTCAATGGTGCTCACCACCCACTTTCGGAATAGACAGGTCTTTGCTGCCATCAGCGTGGAACGAGAGCCGCAACTTATCATTCACAACAGCTGCCAATTCCCTCTTATCTTTGGCCAAGCCAACATAGGTATAATTTTAAGAGAAAAAAATTCAAATGCAATTAATAAATTTACAAACTATTTTAGACAAAGGTAAGCGCAGTTTTTCCACTATGGAGGAATGTGAGAACATTTTGTGGAGAAATGACCTGGCAGCAGGAGCAAGCCGCTCGTACATGATGCCCACCCTTCAGCAGAGCTTTCCTGAGTTGCAAGCGAAGCCGTCCGTTTTGGCACTTCTGATTGCCTTAGGAACCAATCAAGGTTGTCATTCTTAAAAAATTCATAGTAATATAAAAAAAAGTTTATAAAATAATGTTTCCCACATTTCAGTTTTTTCCTTCCTGGGTGACATTGCTTGGTCTGAACCGATAACTGTGAGTTGTTGCGGCCACGCCGAGCAGTTTGTCCGACTGCCTGGACATGGAGACGTCCGAGTTCGCTCCCATTCCATCAGTGGAGGAACAACATATCTCTACATAGAATGTGTGAGCCGCATAGAAATTTCTGCAAAGGAGATCAGAGCTAGGCTCCAACCGAATCCAGACTCGAGTGTTCAAATTTTGGAGCACGATGACAAAAGATGCTTGGAAGCTGATCTAAAAATAATTCCTGAGTGGCAGTCCAATTCTCCTAAATCACACCTGCTTTTAACTTGCTATGCGAGGAGTGTTAAGGTATTTAAAGATTCTGAATTGAAGTTGAATTAGAAAATAGTTCGTGATTTTTGTTCTAGGCCAATTTGACGAGTGACAACAGCAAATACTCTGTTGAGCTCTTAGCATTGACTCTTGACAATATTTTTGTTAAGATCTGTCCAATGAGTGGCGCAAGCAGGGAGCTCAAAGTGGCCATTGGCGACATCCAACTTGACAATCAGAAGTTCTTCCAGGGTGGTTTCGACTTTCCGGTGATTTTCAAAGGGCAAAATGGCCTAGCCGAAGATATCATTCCAATGAGGATGTCGGAGCTAAAATCTGCGTCAGATCGCCTCTCAGAGAGTTCACTTTTAAATTTCATCGTGGTACAGGAAACCTGGATCTTCACAACAATGAAGTCCCTCAACATTTCTTTGAAGCCAGTCAATCTGTTTGTGGAGGACACGATGATTATGGAGATGAGCAAATTAGCAGAAATTTTGAATGTCACCAAAATAATGTTTGTACCAAACGGCCTTGCTCAGGAGAAAACGCATTTGCCCATAGACGTTGTTTGGGAAGTCCAGCAGGCTGCCAACCCTTTACAGGTTAACGTCGTATTGGAATATAAAAGAATAACTCAATAAATTTAATTTTTAATGTCCAAACAGATTCATCGTTTTTCTCTGGAGCCAGTGTCTTTGGTGGTCAGCGTTCACACTTCATTGAAAGTGTTTATAGCATTGGACAGGTCCCCATTAAATTTTTCTGCCTTTGAAAGACACAGGATTTGCACCACAAATTACCACCTGGGTCACGAACTTACCCGACACTATCTCTCGGGAGCACTCTTCAAAGCAGGTTTGTGAAAAAGGATCAAATATTTTATCAATTTTAAAATTGGCTGAGCTTAGGTTGGATGGTTGGTTCCCTGGAAATTCTAGGCAGCCCAGGAGCTTTTGTCTTGACTGTTGGATCTGGCATCAGAGATTTTGTTTGCCTTCCGTTTACAGGGATTTTGCAAGGCCCTTGGGGCTTTGTTAACGGAGTCACACACGGTTCTGCCTCTCTGATGAAACATCTAACTGCAGGTACTTTTATAAATCAAATTAAAAGCGTCACTTTTTTAATTATTTATTTTATTAAGGGACGCTCTCATCAATTACAAATCTCGCATCGAGTATGGCAAGGAATCTGGACAGATGTTCCTTTGACCAGGAGCACGTTGAACGAGCTGAAGAGGCGCGAAGGCAAAGATCGCCGCAGGGCATTGGCCAGGGAGTTATTCAGGGTCTGAGCAGCCTGGGCATCAGTTTACTTGGTAAGCACTAGAGGATAAAATAAAATTGCTTAAAGTCTACAAATTAAATATGAAAACCAAATTTAGGCGCCATCAGTGGAATTGCTCATCACCCTCTGCAAGCCATCATGCACCAAAACTCTTCCCCTCTGTCTGGTCTAGTGACTGGAGTTGGCCTCGGATTAGTTGGAGTTATCACAAAGCCGTTGAGTGGTGCTGCAGAATTTGTCGCTCTTACTGGTCAAGGACTTTTGCATGGTGCAGGTTGGAGCAGTTTGCCAATGGTAATTGTATAAACTATTTTTAAATGGTTGGATATTAAAGAAAAATAATAATTCAGGCAAAGGGTGAAGCTTCAATCGAAAGCAGTTCAAATAGAATGGCAGCACAACTGCAGCACACCTGGAAGTCAAGTTCGTTGGACGACCCGATCGTGATGGCCATCGACGCAACTCTGGAGCAGGACGGTGCCCTGGAGGCTGTAGTTTTGATGCTCTCAACACAATACTTCATGGTCGTTGTTCAAGAAACTGAGCAAATTAAAAACCTCATCCCTGTCACCGACCTGAAGCCAAAGATGGACGAAAAGGATCCAACCCTTCTTTCCGTAGCAATCGAGCAGCTCAGTTCAAATGCTGAGGTACGTGTCGTATTAAATATTTATAGCATGATAACTTAGTGAATTGTTCAAAACAGAGCCATATGACTGCATGTTCTTGGAAGGTAATTTTTTTTTTTTTAATTTTAATTATTTTAACTTAACCCAAAGCATCACGTCCTTTTTTAACTGTAAAAAATATCAAGTTAATTTGTAATAATAGAATATATATATTATTATTCTTTTGATTATTTTTATTCCAGGTTGAAGATTATCCTCAAGCTCGAGTTGAAGACTTCGTTCGGCATTCAAGCATGACCTACATTCCAGAATCAACCACGAATATTGATGGAAATTCCACGCCCTACTCGTCATTTGAATCAGAAAACTCAGAAAATTTGACAAAACCTCTTAACTTTTTTATCAATCCACAGCTGCGAAAATATTTCCACAGTGTTCTCGTTCTGGCTCAGAGACAAGCGCAGAACAGAGGCTTTGCAGTTTTGTGACACAAGTTGGACTCTTGTGATTGTTTAGCTTGTCTATGTGATCTGTGATTACTGCTTGTTTTCTTATCTATTCACATTCACAATTTTGCACTTTGGAGAGTGTGTTTTTTGCTCACAAATCTCACAATATACTTTTTTTAATTAAGAAGACTGTTAATTGAAAATTTGAAACCAATAAAGGTGCTGAAGAATCAAATTAATTGTATTGTAAATAACGTTTTTCTGTGCAATTATTATATTATACCGTTTTTCCAATTATTATAAAATATTTTAATTAATCCTCAATTCACTTTTTTCTTTTTAATTTTGGAATTAAAGATATATTATTCGATATTTTTGCTGTGTATTTTGTTAGGTCAAAAATATTATATAATTTTTAATTACAATTTTTTAAGATCATTTTATAAAATTGCAACTAAAACGGAGAGTGAAAAAATTAGTGATTCTGCAACCTGCTGCTCGCAAGGAGAGGCGATATAGCTGAGGCGATGGGTTGCATAACCACTTTTCCTCGTGTTTCGAAGCTGGAATAGCAGCAAGCAGATGGCTCTGGCGTCTTGAAACAAGCAATGCTGTCATGTGTTTTTGTCGGCGATCGTAAAAAGAGGAAAAGGATCTTGATCTCGTGTTTGTTTGTTGTTTTCTTGCCAATTTTGCGGATTTACATAAAGGTTTTTGATTTTACTAATTTTTATAAAATGACAATTTTTTAAGGTTGAAATCTATGCACTTAAATTGAAATCATCCTCTTTACTATCAAGTTGTGAGATGAATTTTTTAAACAGTTTATTTAATCTATCAAACATTAATCCCTCACAATTACAACACTATTATAAAGTCGCTCCTCCTCAATGTCCTCAAAGTGACCCTTGCTCTCACTTGTTGATAAAGACGCGCACACTTAATTATTTTCTAGTTCAGTGCCAGTTTAATTGTATCTATTATTGCATCTTGCAGACAGAAGGATGGCTGCGATTTGGCGGAACTCGGTTCGGCTGCAGAGCGCGGCCAAAAACAGTCTCGTCGTGTCCAAAATGCAGACGAGGAACCTCAACCTGATGGAGTTCCAGAGCAAAAACCTGCTCGACAAGCACAGTGTGTGCGTGCAGAAGTTTAAAATGGTCAGCAACAAGGACGAGGCAAAAACTGTGGCTGATGACTTTCGTAATTTATAAATAATTGTCTTATATTATGATTTAATATTATAAATTCAGATGTCAAGGAATACGTGATCAAGGCTCAAATTTTGGCTGGCGGTCGCGGCTTAGGCCACTTTGACAATGGCTTCAAAGGCGGAGTCCACATAACAAAAAAGTATTTTTACATTTTATATAATTTTATTTATTTTAAATAATTTTAAAACTCTCAGTCCTAAGGAAATTTATCCCCTAGTTGAAAAAATGGTTGGCCACCGATTGATTACAAAACAAACACCCAAGGAGGGAATCGAAGTGAAAAAGGTCATGATTGCCGAGAGTGTCAACATCAAGAGAGAGACTTACGTCTGCATTCTCATGGACAGGTCTGTTTTCTTTAATATAACAAGAAAAAAATTATAAACTTATAATTATGCAAAATTTAATTTTGTTAATATTATTGCTTCTCGACAAAAGACATTTAAATATTTTATTTCAGACAGCACAATGGTCCAGTCATAATTGCGTCTCCAGCCGGCGGAACTGATATAGAGGAAGTGGCCAAGAAAACCCCTCATCTCATTCAAACCACACCAATCGATATTTTTGATGGCGTCACTGACAATATTGCTCAAAGTGTTGCCGAGTTTCTCCAGTTCAAGGGAGAATTGAAAAACAAGGCACACAATTGATCAATTAAATTTTACCATTTTTGTAAATTTTTGAATATTTATGTTCAGGCTGCAGATGAAATAAAGAAGCTGTGGGGCTTGTTCCTCAAGGTAGACGCCCTGCAGTTGGAAATTAATCCTCTTGTCGAGACTGACGATAACGAAGTTGTATCCGTGGACGCCAAAATTGGCTTCGACGACAATGCTAAATTCAGGCAGCAAGACATTTTTGCCATGGAAGATGCCACAGAAATGGACCCTCAGGAGTACGAGGCCTCCAGGCATAACCTGAACTACATCCGAATGGACGGAAATATTGGGTGCTTGGGTAATTTGGATTTCATTAATTTTTTCTCTGATTAAAAAATTCATTTATTCAGTCAACGGTGCTGGTCTGGCCATGGCCACGATGGACATTATCAAACTGCACGGAGGCGAACCTGCAAATTTTTTGGATGTTGGTGGATCTGTCAAGGAGGATCAAGTTTTCCACGCCTTCAACATTATTACCGGAGGTATTTTTGAATGGAAAAAAGTAATAAGTTGATATTGAAAAGTCACTGGAATTAACTGAAAATTTTGCCATTTAATTTTTTGTCATAGACTGCGAAAAAAATAATTTTAATCACTTATTTCTTTTATTCTAAATATTTTATATTCTTTAGAAATTTAAAAAATTTTGAAAATTTTATAATCTTTATTTATCTAAAGAAATAAATGGACTTGTTTAAAAGATGCGAAATTAATTTTTTATCCAGCAAGACACTAATTTGAACATTTTAATGTTGCAGATAAGAATGTAAAAGCAATTTTAGTGAATGTGTTTGGTGGAATCGTAAATTGTGCTACAATTGCCAAGGGAATTGTCAACGCTTGCCTGAATATGAAGCTCACCATTCCGTTGGTTGTGCGCCTCGAAGGTGAGTCTCTCGTCAAATTTTTAAAGAGAAAACTATTGGATTTTTTGTAAATTATAGGAACCAATGTAACGGAAGCAAAGAAAATTCTTGCCGAGTCAGGGTTGCCCATCAGGTCAGCGGCCAACCTGGAAGAAGCAGCACAAAAGGCGGTCAACGCCCTTAAACAGTAAACAAAACGCCTTTTACAAAAGTACCTCAGCTATGTCGTTTTACCGCAGCATTTAATGGAGCCTTTTGTAACTTTTTGTTCGGTATTTTTATACACGGGTGTGCATTACATGTTGAATTGGTTGCTGTAAAGGTGAAAAATTTTTTTTTTTTGAATCAGTTGAGAGGCCGAGTCCTCGTATCTAATGCCAAGACTGAAGATTAGAATTTTTGTTAAAAATTTTATTGTACTAGAACATACTACATACATCAAATCTGATAACTCTTCAATAAATAATGCCATATGAATCATTTTCAGATGCAGCTAAAAATTGAATTTTTTTTTCTTGAATATAATTTTATTTAAATCCTTGATATTCTTGAATATTTATGAATGGGAAAAATTTGTTAAATCAATCACTAAGCATTTTGTACAATGAAAAATACGGAGTCAGCACGACTGAAAAGCGATAAAATGACAAAACAAAAAAATGTCTCATGCGGTGCAGCCATAAATTGAGACGCGATTGTCATGTAAATCGCCTGCTTGCCTTGCGGGCTAAAAAGCGCGTGCTGTCGAATACTTTAGGAGATGAGGTGAATTTCGCCGCTGCCTCTTTTTTATCATTTTTGCCGTGAGCAATATAATGAAAAATTATATGACATTACATTGATTTGAACAATAATTTTTTTAAATCTAAAATGCTGCAATGAGAGGGGTCAAATATTTTATGAAACTTAAAATAAATATAAAGAATTAAAATTAGGCAAGATTGGGATAAAAAATTAAACATTTAAATTTTTATTATAAATATATTTTCTTTTTAATATAGAAAGCTATTGAAGAGATTAAAAAATTGGAAATGAGGAAATAAGAAATCCTTATAAATGTAATCTTCCCTCTTCAAGACCTTATACATTATGGAACATCTGCCTGTTTCTATTTATACTAAATACAAATTCCGAAAGTTTTCAAAGTTTGCTAAAAAGTTTTACCGGAATTTGTTTGCCTCGACGCGCCGTTTCCAATTAAGGAGCAGGACGCAAATTCCAACTCGCAATACCAAAAAGGGTCGGGATTTAACTTATTATTAGACCCGTTCGTCCAGTTATTTTGCGGCCTGTCACTGATGCTATTTATTTGTCACAAAGAGAAGGGAGAACCTGTCCGGTGAAAAAGGTCGGGGTATGCATTTCTGTATCGACCTTGGCGTGGTTGGGGTGCCGAATCGGCGCGACTCACGCAGGGCAGGGGCGGCGTCGACGGCGCAGGGCAGGCCGCCCGCGCGCTGCTCGGAGTAGTCGTCGTCATTCTGCCACCGGCGGGCATCAAGTAGGCGTCGAGGACGCTGCCTCCGACTCCACATTGTCACACGTGAGTACAAAACAAAGTCAAGTGCCGCTGCTTACGCGCGGTAATTGGCACGCTTTTTGCCTCGGACGTTCGCCACGATTGTTCCTTGTTGCTTTTCCAACCGTGTCGATTTTCTCTCTCGAATTGCAACAAAATAGGAAATTATTTCAAACTGAAAGAAACTCTGATTGTATAATCACTAGAACACTATAGATTAAAAATTTTAAACGAATTTATTTTACATTGAAAGAAAGAAACACTCACTGGGAGTGGAAAATTCTTGATGAATAAAAAGGGTAAGATTTTCTTGAAACTAAGATTCAGCCTTAGTTAGCTTATAATTAAATTTTTTCCCACAATAAAATTGTTCTTAAAGCGGCCATTCAGAATTTCAATACCAACATTTAATAATTTAAAATAGATGTATAATAATTTTTGTTATAAAAACAAACTATATTTGAAACGGGCCATTTAAACGATGAACGAAAATGTATTTATTTAAGATGCACATTCATAAAATATGATTGATTTATGCTTTCAAAATCAAATATTTGGTTTATATAACTATTATTTGTGCTCGTAAGCATATTAATTGTGTTATTTTATTCAATTTTATTGAAATATATATATTTTGTTGGTACAGTGCTTATTATTTTCAGCATAAAATTTCCAAAATGCTGTTAATTTAGTTTAAAATTTAAATAATTGTTGATATCCGCAGAGGTTTATTGGTATATTTTATGTATTTTCAATGATCGAAAGGAATATTTGTGAGTATTTATCAAATGATGGTTATTCTAAGCTGTAAAACAAACGCTGCGCTCATTTCCAGTCCAACATAATTAAAACTTGATTTAAATTAAATAAATATCAAAAATATTAGAATTAAGGAAGGTCATAAGTACTTAACTTATTTTCTCTAGAGAGCAGATAGTAATCCCTTTTTTTAATCTTTTTTTTACACGGCATAAGGAACTTGACAGATTTAAAGGAATGGAATTCTATAGATGGATATTAATTTAAAGGATAAAATTGGCCTTTGTACCCCTGAACAGGAACTTCATAAAATGAAAATGTTTTTGTGGAAATATTTAACTCTCAGAACATAATTTTTATCCTCAAATAGAGAAGAATATTGCTATTTTTTGTTTAAATTAAAGTTTTTTAATTTGACAAGAAGTGGCAAGTTAAAATTAAAATAAGGAAGGCCAAAAAATATATAATTCAGATGTATTTTTTCTCAATTGCGGTAACTGTGGCTAAATTTATTCATTTTGGTTAACAGCTGGTTTTCAGAATTTAATTATAATTTAATTTTTGTGGCCACGCTTGCTGGGGCAGAATTTTTATATTTAATTTTGACTTTACCAAAATTCTTGATTTTTCGGTGATGCCGTTTTGTCCAACAACGATGCTGAATTCCTCTCTAAACAATTTGTTTTCATCAATTTCCATGTGATTATAAAACCAGGTGAACATCAGCAACAACAATTATAATAGAAGAGACGAAAGTCAATTGGGACATTGTTGATTTTTGGCCGTACGTTTTCGAGCATTTCGCTCCGCAACACAAAACCGAAATTGCGCAGCCACAGGGAAAATCCATGCAAATAAATTCCGCCGTTTATTTTCATCGTCAAACGCGTATCTCACAAAGCGCCATCTCATTTCGTGTGTTCAACGCCAAACTGAAAACGATCGTTCGAGCAGATAATTAGACGCTGGTTTTCCCATCCAAACCCCCATAAAAAGCGGCGCGATGTGCAAAAACGCACGCAATAATGATGTAACAAAGTATATACGGCCAGTGCGTTTTGATAGGCCAATAAAAGCGACCGGGCACTTTTTCTTGGCGCAGGCCAATATTTTGCCCAAGTAATAAAACGGACGGAAAGGATAATAAAGAGACACGCACAACAGCGAGATTTTCAGATGATAATAAAAATGAGATCTTTTCATGGCTCGCTGAAACCTTGTGGGGGATAAAAGCGACAGTATCTGATACCGATAATCATTCTGTCAAAGGACCACGCAAATAATGAAAATCAGAAGACGTCCTGTGCGCTCATTGGAAAGTATTAAGTTGGAGAAACGCGACTGTAAGTGAAAAAAAAGAAAACGAAATAAAACATTTTCATTTGATTTTAAGAGTTAAATTACTTCTAAATGTGTCCGAATTAATTATGAGAAATTTGTATATATATTATTTGGGGCAAAATAAAAGCACCTATTTTGATTATTTTCTATCTAAATTAGGAATAGGTATTATTTTTATAACAAAATGTTGTGTTTAAAGCTAACTTGAGGGGTAAATGTTTTTAATTTTTATTCTTCTTCAGATTTTTTCTAATAATAGTTCTACCTAGTTTTTCAGTAATGGGTGATTAGATTTTATGGAAATTTTAGAACTTAAATAATAGGTTACTTAAGGTGAATTTTTATTTACTTAACCTAAATAAACAAATTTCTGAAACTAAATAGAGGTTAAATAATTTGAGATTTTCAATCTTTTAGCTTATGGTTGATTAATTAAGCTCCCCTCAAAAAAATTCAACCTGGCAAAATTCTATTCATTTTCCCATCTAGATGTTATGAGAATTGAAACAAAGGTTTTAAAGTAAAAATAGCGCCGCAAAGATGAAAAAACTATTTCTTATCTCCAATGACTTCAAAATTCAAATTTTTTATTGTTTGGAAATGTTAAAAAGAAGAGAAAAACTATTTGAGATGTGCAATATCTTAAATTAAAAACTTACATCTCGCATGACATGCTATATATTTACACATACTAATTTCATTCTCCTTATAAGAATTTTAAAGCAATATATCAATAAGAAATTCTTTTGTGAATGTTATAAAATTTATTTTCATCATTTTGTGTTTACCGATCGGTAACGTGTCGAGTAAAAACAACTCGGGGAAACGATGAGGCTGCGCGAACAGCCATTTTTCACAAGATGAATTACAAACACACGCTGTGCCTAATGGGGGTCTTTAAGCTTCTCTCCTCGGAGCAGGTCATCCCGAGCGCAAGGGTCACGACAGCCGGTTGATGGGCTGGCAATTATGCTTGTTGCGTAGGCAGAACGCCTTCTGAATAAGTAATCGCTGCCGGCGCGACTCTTCTCGTGTGGCGCGGCCATCAAGTATGCACTTATGGCGCGCGCGAGACCGCATAAATCGTCGGGCTCGCGGAAATATGGCGTACGCGACCGAGCAAAAGTCACCAAAATCCTAAAATACACTACTTGTGTAATAAATGTTAAAAATTTTTGTACTGTAAATAAGAAAATAGTCACTTTTAACCACCATAAATGAAGGAATCTAACGAAGTAACATAACAATAAATTTTGATGATTGGAAATGAAGGAAAAAATGCTTTTAAATTATATAAAACATCTTTTTATATCAATTGTATCAATTTATTAACCCCAATGCATTGTATTGGCAAATTAATTAACGGTCACTTCATTTTTAGGTCGATCTAAATTGATTTGAATCTGCCATTTATTCAATTCAGCGCTGATTAACATTAAATTGTTCGACGAATCGGAACTTAATCGAAATTGCTCCGGTGTTGTTCAAACAGGCGTTAAATCAATTTGTATCAAATTATCGACTGCTGCCAAGGAGTGCTACTCGTCGAGCTCACCGCTGAAATGCAATTTATTTAAAAAAAAAAAAACTGCACTTCACTCTTATACGCCACAAGTTTCCTTTTAGTATATAAACGAAGGATTATTCCGGAGGAGGCGTCGAACTATTCCAGAGAGGGAAATAATATTTTACTGCCGCTGCGAAAATTGAAACAGCTCAATTGTATGAGAATATTGTGGTCTCTTTTCGGTTCATTCGTGCGGATAAATGCTAAATTTTTTCTAAATGGAAGGTTATTGAGAGAAATTTTGACATATTTACACATGGGCTATATTTTTTTACTTTCAAAAGTACTAAAAATAATTGGCCTGAAGCCTGACGTCAGTTGAGTTTTACAACAGCGCATTTTTCCAGCAGAACAAAATTAATGATATTTTCAATGTGAAGCTGAAATATGTGAAAATAATGGTTCTTGAAAGAGAAAACAATTAATTTTGAACAGCGCCAACAATTGATTTTTATTCATGAATTCTAAAGGAAACCAAGTTTGATTACCTATATCGAAATCGCGCTTAAAAGGATTAACTTTTTCGTTGACCTTTTCCCACTCATTTGAACCGCGAGGGACGACTTTGTTGATGGCCAAAGCACTCTAATTAAAAAAAATATATCTAACTATAAGCAAGAAACTTGTTCTCGCAATCAGAAAGAAATTTCCATCTACGTTAATTATTAATGAACTGGATTTCAACTCTTTGGAGTCAAATTATTAATTTTTTCAATTGATTAAGTCACAAAATTTTGGTTTCATACACAAACAATAGCTGAAGAGGCCCTTTATGTGCAATACAAAAATATTTTCATTTCATGGAACGTAATTGAAAATTTCCAAAATTCCTTCACGTCAAAGCATTTTTCGTTTTACGGGTTTGTTGTGGAGCGATTTTGGCGAAAAGACCGCAGCGAACTTGCAATGGCCTACCACGGGTGTTGCTGAAAATTGGATTCTGAAAGTGCCTATTTGGCACTAAACAAGTTGGACGGGGAGGTGCATAGGCGCGGTGGAGTTGCTATTTGTCGTGGTTGCACTCAAACAAGCGGTCGCTTATGCCCGAGCGCAACTTTAGCCCCCTACGCCGCCGCGAACTTCCAACTTTGCCATTATGCATGTGATGGTCTCGTCGTGTGTTGGAAACAACACGACTCTCTTGTTTTGCGGCATACATAAAATAACACGATAACACACATACACAAGCAATGTATTGCAAAACTCGGGTGCAAACACGGCAGGAGAAAAAGTAGAAAACGCTTTGTTAGAACATTCCTGTTGATGAGTAGTATCAGATAAATGAATAAATAAAACTCGCTTCTCGTTTCACTTTCGATTTTGAGCAAATTTATTGAGAGTAAAAAGCATTCATGGA